GAGTTAACAACCAACTTCAACGGAAAGTAGCAGGATACAAGCTCAACATACAAAAAATCAATAGCACTTGTGTACACCAACAAGGAACAGGATGAGAAGGAAATCATAAAAACAGTACCATTTACAGTAGCTTCAAGAAAAATAAAATACCTAGGAATTAACCTAAACAAGGAAGTGAAAGGCCTTTACAAAGAAAACTACAGTACTTTGAAGAAGGAAATTGAAGAGAACATCAGACAATGGAAGATGTCCCCTGCTCCTGGTTAGGCAGAACCAATAGTGCCAAAATGGTCATGTTTCCAAAACTGTTGTACAGATTCAATGAAATCCCAATCAAAATACCAACAGCATACTTTACAGACTTTACAAATATAATGTGCAATGCAATAAGCCACACACACAAGCTTAACACCAATAGTATTTCTTATTTAAGTGAGGCAAAGTACAGACAAAGAAAATAATAAAGAATAGATAGAAGGGGACAAGGGGTTAGATCTCTTGCTATAAGGAAGTTGTCCAAGGAGAAAAACACAGGGATGAGAAAGAGGGGAAGAGGAAATAAGCAGAATAAAAATCAGCCCCCCCAAATATAAAGACCTGATTCAAAAATGGGCATCCGAAATGAACAGACATTTCTCAGACAAAGAGGTAAAAGCAGCAAGTAAATATATGAAAAAATGCTCCACATCACTGGTCATTCGAGAGATGCAGATGAAAACAACACTTGAGATTCCACCTCACCCCACAAAGAATGGCTATTATCAAGAAATGACTAAAAGCAGCAAGAAAATATATGAAAAAATGTTCCACATCACTGGTCATTCGAGAGATGCAGATGAAAACAACACTGAGATTCCACCTCACCCCACAAAGAATGGCTATTATCAAGAAATGACACAATAACAAATGTTGGCGGGGTTGTGTGGAAAGAGGAACCCTTCCCCATTGTTGGTGGGAGTGCAGACTGGTGCAACCACTATAGAAATCAATATGGAGATACCTCAAAGAACTAGGATTAGAGGTCCCATTTAACCCAGCCATCCCTCTGCAGGGCATCTTTCCAAAAGAATTAAAAGAATCATATCACAGTGATATATGCACACCTATGTTTATAGCAGCACAGTGTGTAATAGCTAAAACTTGGAAACAGCCCATTTGCCCATCAGTTGGAGACTGGATGAAGAAGATGTGGTTTTTCTATAAAATGGAATATTACTCAGCCATAAAGAGCGAGAGAATAGATTCATTCATAGGAAAATGGATACATATTGAAGATATACTCCTAAGTGAAATAAATAAGTCACACATGTGTAAAAACCGAATAGTTTCTCTTGTGTGAAAAACTATAATGGTACATAAGATCCTAATGATTTAATTGACAATGTGAAAAGGAAGAAAAGGGCTAAAGGTGTAGGGGAAGTGGGAAGGGTAGGGGAAAGGTAATAAGGGAATAAGAAAAAAATACGAGAAGAGGAAAAAATGGAAACAAAGTCTTTATAAATAGGGAATGGGGAAGGGGGTGAAGGGAGGGTAGGGACAAGGGGAAAAAATGAGAACCAAGCCCTCTCATGTAAAGGTACAAGATCCCAATGATGAATGTAACTGTACTGTATCCCTAAAATGTACCAATAAACTCAATGGAGAAAAAAAATAAGCCATATAGAGGAACCTAACACCCTCAAGGAATATAAACCTTATATGTCATAATATGAGCTAAGGTTAGTAACAAGAATGAAAACGGGATAGGGAAATTGGAGGAGGAGGATAGAGGAAGGAGATTTTAAAAAGAAGAAGAAACAAGCCGGGCGTGGTGGTGCAGGCCTGTAATCCTAGCACGCGGGAGGCTGAGGCAGGAGGATCACTGTGAGTTCGAGACCAGCCTGGGCTACATAGTGAGTTCAGGGTGAGCCTGAACTATAAAGTGAGACCCTGTCTCAAAACACAAAACAAAAACAAACAAACAAAAAACAAATTAAAAATCCAAAATAGTAAGAGAATGGAATATTGTTTTCTATCCTTTGAGTTTTAGTCTATGAATTTTTTGTGGATTAAATATCTTTTAGGCAGCCTACCATCAAGTTTTGTTTATTAGTCCAGTATGACAATCTGTCTTTTGATCGGGGCATTGAGACTATTTATATTGAAAGTTATTACTGAAAGTTATTGACTTATTCCTGTCAGTGAATTATTTTTCTCTTGCTGCTTCCTTTATTTTTCCCTTTTGCTTAATTGCTAATACTCCTTCCTATAGTCATCCTATTAGACTTTTTGGTATTGTTGGCTTAATTATGGCTGGGCTATTCTTGAGAGTTATTTTTTAATGCTGATTTGGTAGTCACATATTTTTAAAAATGTTCTTTGTCATGGAAGTGTCACTTTTCTTCAAGGATTTTGAAGATAGTTTTGTAGGATATATTAGTGTGGGTTGAAAGTTGTTTTCTTTTAGTGCATGAAACACTTCACTCTAAGATTTGCTGGATTTGAGGGTTTGTGTTGAGAAGTCCATTGTAATTCTGAAGGGTTTACATTTATAAGTGATTTATTGCTTTTCTCTGACAGCTTTTAAGTTTCTGTCTGCGTTGGACATCTGGGATTCTGATTATAGTGTGTTGTGAAGAAATCCTTTTTTGATCATGACTATTTGGGATTGTATACGCCTTGCTTAACTGTATGTTTAATTATTTCTCTACACTTGGAAAGTTTTCTACTATGATTTCTGTAAGCAGATTTTTGTGCTATTTATGTTATCTTCTAATTTTTATGCAGTTCCTATATATCTGAAATTAGTCTTCTTTGCATCATCTTAGAGCTGTTGGATCTGTTTCCCAGGCTCTCTTGTTTTTTGTTTTGTTTTGTTTTGTTGGTACCAGGGATCGAACTCAGGTCTTTGTGCTTGCAAGGCAGGTGTAGAACAACTGAGCTAAATCCCAGGCCCGATCTCTTGTTTTTTAAGGTATCTCTGTGTATATAGTCACCGGCATCAGCCCTGTCATCTAGTTCTGACAGTCTGTCCTGATATTGGTCACTTTGAGGGTCCCTACTTTCTTTTTTTGTTTGTTTTTTGAGACAGGGTCTCACTATGTAGTTGAGACTGACCTGGAACTCACTATGTAGCCCAGGCTGGCCTCTAACTCACAGCAATCCTCCTGCCTCAGCCTCACGAGTGCTGGGATTACAGGCTGCACCACCACGCCTGGCCTTGAGGGTCCCTACTTTCAAAAGAATTTTTAAATCTCTTAGATTTCTGTCGAGTAACTTTTCATGGGCTCTAATTCTTTGCTAAACTGCTCATTCGTGATTTTCCAAGAACCTCATTGATCCTTATTTTTTCCTCTTTTATTACTTCATATAATTTGGTCATTTGGTTTTTTTTTTAATTTAGTCTCCATTGATTCACTTTGGGTCAGCTTTGAAGGAGTTGGGAGTTTGGGAGGTATTTTGTTGCCTTGTTTTCTCGTGTTTCTACTTTGTGTGTGTGATGATGGACAAGGATAAAGTAGAGTGAAAAGACTTTGTTGCTAGTATGAGAATCTCTTTAGTTAACGTCTGCATTTCAGTGAGGTCATCTTGGCTTTGTTTGCATTTTGGTATTTATCTACCTCTTTGAACTACTCAGTTTTATAAGATCAGACCTGGTGGCTGTATTGAAAGGAGAAAATCTCTACTAGTCATGTCATTGCTAAACAATTCCAACCATTCACCAATGGTGTACATTAAAACTTGTTTTAACAATTTCTCCCTTTTATCAATGTCCCGTGCAAATTGTACTATACTGCTCCTAACAGGTGAGCTGGGATGTGGACGAAGAGGGGGGAAAAGGGCAAGAGAAGAAGGAAGGGGGTGAGTCAGTAAGAAGCAGACAAGGGAAATATCCGTAGATTAGAAAACAGCCAGGAGAGCAAACTCTTTGGAATTATGAGAGTGAAGGGCCAGAGTTGAGGGTGCTTGAGAAAAATATGGAAGTAGGAGAAGAGATACAGCAGAAGGGAAGTATAATTGGAGCTCGAGAAAAACTAAGAATTTTAGAATGAATACGTTGGCACTTAGCTTATGTTTGATTACTCTATGCACAGTTTTGGTGAGAGTTACCCCGACTTGACCATGAAAGACACTATTTAATGCACTTGTTCATTTTTATTCTCTTTCGCACATATGCCACATGAAAGGAGTGAAGGGAGAGAGGGAAGATAAAGGGATAAAAAAGAGAAGAAGAGGGAGGAAAAAAGAAGAAACAAGGAAAAGAAAAAAAATCCCACAGTTGCCTTTGTATTTTCCCTCCACGAGCCTCCCACTTAGCACACTGTCAGACACCCTCCGGCCAGGCTGCCACTTTCTGTCTCTCCACCTGTTGGTCCTTCCTTGTTCGCTCTCCCCAAAATGCTACTTTCTAACCTAGGAACTTGGCAGAGCCTCAGGACGTTCTGCATTCAACAGTCCCCAGCAGGGGGCGGTAGTGGCTCCCATGCAGGTGTGCAGCAGTGAGCAGTGGACAGTGAGCAGGTGTTTGGGGGAGAAATGGACAAGTGCTCATTTCTGGGTCAGTCTGGTCTCTTCTCCTCAGGGTCTCACTTCGCAGGGCTGCTTACCCATGGAGCCCCCAGGCTGCAATTTTCCAGGGCTTGGATTCAGATCCAAGGATGATGTGCTTGATTTCAACTTCCCCAACGGCCCCCTGGGGTTTCCGCATATACCATTCACCAGCCTTCAGTAGCTTGCCGATATCTTACTCTTGTGTTCCCTCTTCCCAGTAGGGAGAGAGGGGTTGAGAGCCCATTCTGGTGGCCTGGCTGCCACGAAAGTGCCTGATCCCCCTCACTGTGCCCAGTCCTCTTCCAAGAGGTTGTGTACCATGGACCTGGGGTATAAGGGATGCCATGGAATAGGAGCAGTCTGACTTCCCTTTCTAAAACCCTCCTGATCCTGGATTTTGATCCTGTGAGATTCTCCTTCTGTTTGCCTTCCCCTCTCTGGCTTTCTCCACTGCCCCCACCTCAGTGTACCTGCTTTCCTCTGGTGTACATAGCAGAGCTTCCCTTCATCCCTGCCGCCACCTAGGCAGTCATGATGGATCTCCCTGCAATGTTTTGGAGGAGGCAGTCAGGAGAATCAAGATAGAGAAACATAACAATAGGAATAGAACCTTCAAAAGTTCCAATGGCACGGCGCAAGCCTGTAATCTCAGCACTGAGGGAGGCTGAGCCGAGAGGCTATCAGCCTGGGCAATTTAACAATTTAGCCAGGCCCATCTTAAAAGAAAAATAATTTAAAAGGGCTGGTGATTTACCTCAGTACGAAGCCACTGAGTTCATCCCCCAGTACCACAGAGAAATACAAAAATGTCCAGTGATGTGAAAGCAAAGGTGGGGAGGGAAACTTTCTAGATTCAAGGAGAGTAAAGAGACTAACTAAAATGAGTGAGCTGGGTCACTGATCAGATCAGGAACGATGGAACAAGACAGAAAAGGCCTCAGAGCCCCACTCTGGGAACTCCGGTTGTGTATTAGGTAGCTATATTGTATCATTGTCACCTTTCCCCGGGTGATCACAGCACTGGTTCTGTGGGAGAATCTTTATGTTTTTAGGAGATGCACAACGAAGTAGTTTGTGTGAACCACATGGGCTTGGGAGGCCCAGAAACGTGTGCCTGTGTACACATTCTGCACCAAACAAAAGAAGTTAACACAAGTTCTATAGTCAAAGACACACAGGGTATAAGAAGGTTGGGTTGCCCATCTGCTCGGAAGCCATTGTCACTCAAATCCAACAGCCACCTGTCTCAGAACCCCGGGCCGGGAGGAAGCACTGTTCTCACTGCACTGTGATGGGTGGTGATGAAGCAAACAGCAGTCTGTCTTTATTCAAAATGTTGTTATTTTTGATCATTTGGTTATTTTTATAATACTGATGTTTTGCTATCATGAATTTTTACCTTGGCTTTGACCTTTTAAAACATTACACTAAAATATTCATTTTCATGACTGAATTTTTCAATGTCTACTTAAATTTTTCCTCATTCACCTCATCTAATCTTAGCCCTTGTGGAGGATCATGTTGCACTGCAAATAGCTCATTTTAACGATAATATTCATGTATTAATTGGGTATGGATTTACACATGTAAACATTAAATAGATGCGAGTGCATATGTTTATACACATGTATACATGGGCACACATATACACAAATACATCAAAAGAGATGCAAATGTACCAAATACTAATAATTGGTGAAATGAGGTGATGGACACAAAGACATTCATTGTATTAATGTTTGCAACTTTCCTATTAGCTGGAAGTTTTCCAAGACATAACAATGATGGAGGGAAAAAATGTTAAAGGAAGTTAAAACCTGGTATACATTGTTTACAAGTTAAATTCATTAATATAGGAGACTGCTCTTCTAAGTGTGATCTGAGGGAAGGAGAGAGTCTATTCAGTACGCAAATGAGATGCATGTACGCAAGGGCAGACCCTGGCAGTGATTGGTGTTGAGAGGAAATGTGAAGTCCTCCAGTGTGGAAAGCATCCCCCCTTGACAAGCTGTGGTTAATTCAGCAATTCATTCTTCACCGCAATAGCTTCAGTCGATGTCTCTGAAGCATCAGCTAGTCTCTTTATATTCCGTGCATCTGTCTTCTCAGCAATGAGCACTGTTACCAAAAAATTTAAAAAAGAATCAGCTGCAAACCTCATATCTACTTGGCATGGCAATGTCTACTTGGCCATGTCTACTTGACATGGCAATGTCAGAAATATTAGGGAAGAGAATTACTGTAAGAAAAACAATTCTTCAGTAAATGTAAAGAAAAAATTAGAGATTTTTGAATGACAAACCCAAGCATTTAAATGATTTAAAGGATTTTGAAAAACATATTGGGGCAGAAAATCTTCAAGTGACATAGACAAGCTATTTTTTTTAAATAATGGGTCATGGCACATGATAGATACAATGAGACAAATAAATACACACAGACAACATATATGGATATATTAGATGCACGAGGTGTGATCGGAGGTATGGTTAATGTTTAAATTTCCTAAGAAAACTTTCAAACATTTTTAAAGATTTATAAAAAATAAAGTTTATGTCAGGGTTATTTATAATAGGAAGAAATTAAAAATAAACATCCAACAATATAGAAAGAGTTAAGAAGTATGATATGACTCTTTAAGAGGGCAGCATCAGAGTTTGGAACTTAGAAAATTATTGCAGCAAGATTTGCTGTTATCATTTGCTGACCTGATATTTATGTGTCACTTGTTCCCTATTGCCCCACTAATACAAATGTGTTCAACAGCAGTAACCTTCTCTGTCTTCCACATCATTTTATGTCATCCAGCATGAAGTAGATGCTGGATAAAAATATGCTGAATGAATTGATAAATTCAAATGTGAATCTTATGAGCACTTCAAATTATGTGAAATTGTTAAAAATTATACTATTTCGGAAGTAAAACATATCACATAATGTGGAAAAGGAAAAAACCTATATTAGTAGTTAAGAAACTACAGGCAAAATAATCTCAGAAAAAGCTTATGGTCTAAACATGGCTTAGTAGAATGTAGGTCTTGAAGGAAATTTAAAGATAACCATGTGTCCAATACAGTACCTTTTTTAAAAAAATCAGAAGGTATCAACATCTCTCAAGATTCAGGGACCTGGTTCTGGTCTCTCGGGAGCCAATCCAGGATCTGGGTATACACACACACACACACACACACACACACACACACACACACACACATGTGAGAACACCTCCTAGCGCTGAGGGGTCTATTCAAATGGCTTCTGGGGTCCATGGTCTGCAGTTCCAGAGAGCAACTGAACCGCAGGACCTCCAGTCCCTTGGAATCACAGGCAATTTCAATATCCTAGTGTTCCCAGGGCTTAACACAGAGCTCAGACATGCAGCAAGATTCCAGTTCCAAAAAATACATACTTATGAAGACACTTCAAAGAGAGAAGCTACCAATTCCTCAATGTTGTATGATAGGAAGAGACTCACTCTTTCCTCTTTGACCTTTCTGAGGCCAACAATGACTCAAAGAGCTCCCCATTCTATTTCAAAGCCATTAGTTTCTCTTTACCATTTCCCCATTTTTATTTTTTTTGCATGGCTGAATGTCACCTTTGATAAAATTCTTATTCATCCCCTTGATAATATTTTTATGTGTGAAACTGTTTTATTCTTATTCATTTGTAAGCAAACCTTTTATATTTTGAAATGTGGGCATCAGTATAAGAACTCTGCCTTTTAACATTTGGAGCACATTGAGTTCTACTTCATTTCTTGGATTTGGGAATATCCTGTATCTTCCCTAGAATTTGGGAAATCGCCTTTCTGAAGATTTTTGAAAAATCTTCAGGGGCCAGGGATTTAGCCCAGTGGTTCTGCCGCCTGCCTCACAAGCATAAGGATTCAAGTTCGATCTCTAGTTCGAGAAAGAAAGAAAGGAAGGAAGGAAGGAAGGAAGGAAGGAAGGAAGGAAGGAAGGAAGGAAGGAAGGAAGGAAGGAAGGAAGGAAGGGAAAGTTCTTCAGGAGTTCGTTTTTTTAATTAAATCAATCTGTTATAGAAAAAGTGGAGCAGCTGGTAAAATGTTTTTCCCACACTGTAGGTTGTCTCTTAATTCTGTTGATGGTTTCTTTTGCAGCACAGAAGCTTTTTAATAAGATGAGATCCCAGTTGTTGATTCTTTCTGCTAGTTGCTGTGCTACTGAGGATTTGTTCATAAAACCTTTTCCTATGCCAATGTCTTCCAGAGTTCTGCCTAACTTATCTTCCAGCAAGTTTAGTGTTTCTGTTTTAATATTTAGATCTTTAATCCACTTGGATTTTAATTTAGAGCATGGTGAAAGATAAGACTCCAGTTTTAATCTTTGGCATGTTGAGATCGAGTTTTTCCAACAGCATTTATTAAAGAGGCTATCTTTACTCCACTGAGGATGGTAAGCTCCTTTGTCAAAGATGGCATAGCAGAGTACATCTGGATTTTTGTTTTGTGTCTTCTAATCTGTATGTTTATAGTGGCACAGTTTGTAATAGCTAAAACTCGGAAACAGCCCATTTGCCCATCAGTTGGAAACTGGATAAAGAAGATGTGGTTTTTCTATAAAATTGAATATTATTCAGCCATAAAGAATGAGAAATTAGATTCATTCATAGGAAAATGGATACATATCGAGGATATAATATTAAGTGAAATAAATAAGTAACACATGTGTAAATACCGAATAGTTTCTCTGGTGTGAATAAACTGTAATAGTACATAAGATCCTAATGATATAATGGACAATGTGAAATAGGAAGAAAGGGGCTAAAGGTGTGGGGGAAGTGGGAAGGGTAGGGGAAAGGTAATACGGGAAAAGGAAAAAATATGAGAAAATGAAAAAATGGAAATGAAGTGTTTGTAAAGGGGGAAAGGAGGAGGGGTTGAAGGGAGGGCAGGAGCAAGGGGAAAAATGAGAACCAAGACCTGTCATGTGAAGGTACAAGATCCCAATTATGAATGTAACTGTACTGTATACCTAAAATGTACCAATAAACTCATGAGGAAAAAAAAAAAAAGAAAGAAAAAGTGGTGCCACGCCTGGAAACAACTAAAGTTACATATTTGCATATTACACCCTGTAATGCAGTACATATACTATAGCATCTAGAACCTGATAAATAATCTTTTTCCTTAATAACTCCTAAAAAGGTATAAGGTATCATATATGTTTCAGGCTCAATGAAAGTCTAGATAATTTTAATATTCTCTTAGCAAAAACTCAAGTAAAAGCTGAATATCCACATTTCTGTCCACCAAGCAATTGCTTCCCAGTCTCCATCAGGAAAGGAAAGAAACCCAAAGGTAGGGAGTAAGGGTCTCCTTTGTCCTAGTTACATAGTCAAAGTATTATATCCTTTAATCTGTCATAAATGTCACATACAGTTTCCCAACAATTGGGCTTCTTTTTTCTTTTTATATGGGACATTTTTGTAACATACTTTTTCATGTATTCTAATTTATCAATGTTTTCCTTCTTTAATGTTTCTGCCTTTGATATTATGTTTAGAAAATGCCTCTACTTTCAAATATGTTCATGTACATCTTCTTCTAGTATTTTTTCTTTAAATTTGTAAGCATTTTCCAAACAAAGATTAAGATTTGCTTTTGGAGCATGAAGAAAGATTAAATTTTAAACTTTTTTTTCTTGCTGCTGGGAAATCAATACGAGGGGTACTCTACCACTGAGCTACATGCCTAGACCTTCTTATTTTTTTATTTTCAAACAGAGTCTCACTAAGTCGCCCAGGCTGGTCTTGAACTTACCATCCTCCTGCTTCAGCCTCCCAAGTAGCTGAGATTACAGGTATAAGCCGCTATGTCTGGTTAAATTTAATTTTCCCTCCATATAGTTAACTCATTAACATTAGTAGATATATTAAAAAGTTGCAAAACTCAGATAACTGTGCAGACCAGTGGTAATAGAATATGATGCTAACCAGATGATATGTAATTTAAAATTTTATAGTGGTCACATTAAAAAGATAAAAAGAAGTGAAGTCAATTTTGATAATATATTTTACTCAACCCATTATACTCAAAATATTATCCTCTCAGTGTGTGACTGACATCAAAAGTTATTAATAAGATATTTCACATTCTTTTCTTAGTGAATCTTCAAAAAATGTCATGTGTATTTTATGCATATAGCACATCTTAATTCAGCCTAACCACAATTCTGGTGTTCAGTGGCCACTCGTGGTTAGTTAGCACAGGTTTGGAGCAGTGTTTCTCAGCCTCAGCAATGTTAACATTTTGGAGCTGATAATTCTTTGTCATAGACTACCCATGCTTCACAGAGTGATTCACTGCATCTCTGGCCTCTACCCACTATATATCAGTGGCACCTTCCCCTCAGTTGTTACGACCAAAAATGTCTCCAGATACTGCCGGAAGTTGCGGGGGAGGATAAGCTTGTCCCCAGTTGAAAACCAAAGGCCTAGAAAAATTGGAAAAAAATTATGCTTCAGTGAATCTTATTATCTGAGGGAGAATTTTCATTTTAGAAGCTAACAGGTATTGTTATAGTCACTCACTCAAGACAGTAGTACTTACAATAATGAAAAGTCTGTCAAGTGCCCCTGTTCTAAATTCAGAAAAAGGAGAGGAAGAGCGCGACAGAAGGGCAGAAAGCAGAGGAGATGGGAAGAAGAAAAAGAAGAAAATTCTTTATTTACTTGGGTGCTTACTCTGGGTCTCTATCTACACAACAAAAATACTGACCCAGCATTGAGCCCACCGTGGTGGCTGACATCGACATGTCATTGTTTCAGAATCCCTGAGAATCTTGACTTTGAAAATAGGCCAGTTCTTGGGTTGCAACCTGCATCAGAAAGTACTTGTGAGTTCAGGCAATTGTGGGGCCCCAAATGATAATCAAGCCTAAAACTGTTTACTCTGGAGAAGAGCATTTAATATCAGAAGTCAGAAGTCCTAGGACCCAACCTTTGGGTGAGTTAATCTCTTCCATAATCTTTCTTATCAAGCAAGACTGAAAGAATCCGACCACTGCCATCCTGGTCTAAGCAGAGAGCACTTTAATCCCTTCCCCTGCTATGCTTTTACACCTACTGTGGATGTATCCTCAGGGGTCGAAAGGTCCAGTAATCACAGCCACGCCCTCTAATTACCTCACTGTTCAACACTGCTCTTGACAACAACAGGCAGCTCCGTGTGTGCCTCCTCAAGCCCTGTCCCAGGTAGAGGGCCACAACTGCCTTGTACTGAACTCTCCTCGCCCCCAAAGTCCCATTGTGCTTATTCCTTTCCACAGCCCCCCTTTTTACGCTCATGACCCTGTAGAGACCCATAGCCCGCAGCAGAGCAGCCAGTCTGGCCTCTAGTGCCAGAGCGATGCCTCTCAGGTCTGTTCTGAAATAAACCTGTCCTGGTGCGCTCCTACCCCTGCTTCTTTTCCTTTTTGTCCTAACAGACTCAAGTAACTAAAGCCCCAAATAACTGATATTTTCAAAATACCTAAGCTGTTTAAGTATTTTAAAAATGACAAAGAAATCAAAATTACAGCAGAGATTTATTCAAGGAAGAAAAGAGAGAGAGAGAGAGAGAGAGAGAGAGAGAGAGAGAGAGAGAGAGAGAGAGAGAGAGAGAGAGAAAGAGAAGGAAAGGAAGGGAAAGGAAAGGAGAAATGGGGTAAAGGAGAGGAACTAAATCAAGAACACACCTTGGAATATTTAACATTCATTATAATCTTATCTACCTGGATTTGCATATGCCTATACGATATTCAGAATGCTGACTCATAGGTATTAGAGGATTCTGAATCACACGAAAACAGCCTACTGTTTTCACTCTACTTCACAGTCTTTTTAAGCTTACTAACAACAAAAGCTAAAAACTAAAAGGTTTCTGGTTGCCTCTTGATTAATGAGAACATTAAACCAACCAGGAGTTTGCATTCTCCAAATGTTTTGGTTCATCGGGGCTTGGCTCTAATGGTTGAGCTCATCTGAAGATACTGACTCCAGCTGTTGGGTGTCCTATACTAAGAACCGTGGGTACAGAAGACAACAGTCTACTTCTTTCCATGGACAGGTGGGATTACTGGTACAGGAGGAATCTTTCCAGTGGTTCTGGCAGACAGAGTTTGTAGACAGCCTGATGACATGCTCGACACAAGCACTTCCGAATACACAGGCGGCAGAGCTGGGAAAGAGCAGGTGGGCCTGTGGGAGGAAATGAAATGGGTGAGCAGAAGAGAAACTGGATTTGATCCTGACTTGTCCCTCTAAGGGGGATGTTTTTCTTTCAGTCATTCCTCCTATGATGATTGTATCGCTGACATTGAAGAACAAGGTCCCATCTCACATCCGGAGGGGCCTTCCATTTTTGCAAGGGTTTCAGTTCAATTAACATATGCAGCCCTTTCTTACCTTCCCGGAGCAGGAGGGCCTGCTCCACACTGCTTTGGGGAGCAGCCAGATCAAGTGCACTTTTGCCCTGTGCATTTCTGAGCTTCAGGTTGGCCCCATAGTCTGTGAGCAGGTGGATGATTTCTGCACTGGACTGTCTTGCTGCTGCGTGGAGGGGGGTGTCCATCCATTGTCCATTGTCAACACTGGCTCCTTAACAAAGCAGATGTGAGTGTAAAGCACAATGAGCCTAAAATAGAGTTGTTGTATACAAAAACATCTCAAATGCCATGACATATTTGACAGATCTTTGAAAATACGTGACTTAAGTCTACAACCTCAGCAATGCCTACTAAGATCATTCCAAAACATTTTCGTGGGAAAAGTAGACGTAGATGTTGTTAGTTATTTTAAATAGTTGACTTGCTTTCCCATACATTGTCCTTATATTCTCATTTTCAAATTAAACATCACTACATAGTATATGCTCTTTCTCCAGTGATTCACCATATGCTTCATTTGACCAGTTCAATCTCCTTTGGATTGATCTGTATATTATTTAAGCCAATTTATCAAAGTTGGTATTAATTTATACAAATATATATATACACATACACACACACATACACACTTGAGGCCTTAAAAGATCTTTAAATTCACTGTAGGGAATAATAAATGATGGGAATAAGAAATGATAAAAAAATCTTAGAGATAAAAATTCTCAACTGAAGGTTTTTACTACAACCTCCACCTTTATGTCAATGGCTAAGTGTATTAAATCTTTACCCAAATGATAGTTCCCAAATTACACATACACACACACATACACACTTGAGGCCTTAAAAGATCTTTAAATTCACTGTAGGGAATAATAAATGATGGGAATAAGAAATGATAAAAAAATCTTAGAGATAAAAATTCTCAACTGAAGGTTTTTACTACAACCTCCACCTTTATGTCAATGGCTAAGTGTATTAAATCTTTACCCAAATGATAGTTCCCAAATACTTTACTTTTCCCTGGAATCTTCATTTCTATATGTGCCTTTTAGGATTTAAAAAATAACTAAGTAATGTGGTAGAGATGATGTAAAAGAGTCTTGGCAAATAATATATGTTATGTTTTTCTTTCCTGCCCAGCATCCTCCTGGTAACCACAACTAGGTTTCCCTTTAGGGAACTATGATAGCTTCTTGTGATTCCCAGTTCATATGTTTCTAAAGAAGCCAAATAATTACACAATAAGCTGTAATCCAGGCCTAAGCCAGTCAATGTATTGTATTTCTGTGGTAGACACAATTGGCTCAGAGATGGGTTTGTGATTCAGCAAGTCAATGCTCCTTCTTGCTGTGTATGAATGAAGACAGTGAGGAGCCCAGGTGTTGCTGGTAGCCATCTTGAGACCACCAGGAAGAACCATATCAGGTAAATGGTGTCAACATCAAAGAAAGCAGAACTGAGAAACACTAATTTCTCTCATTCCGACATCAAACACCATCATTTTTTTCCGGCCTAATAACTTCAACTTTGAAGACATTAAAAAAGGGGTTTAACAGATTTTTCTCATAAGATTTATGGTAATTACCTAGTTCCAGAAGTTTCTTCACACATTCTACCCTCTGGTAGGTGCAGGCCACATACAGGGGAGTTCCAATCTGAGGCACCTCTTGGTCAATGTTAACATTGTTTGCTAGCAGAATCTCCATGCACTCTCTGTGACCTGTGGGACACAAGACAACCTCACTCAAGTAAGAGACACATTGAGTATTTACAGAATTATATGACTGCTTATTTGGAATGAGCTTTAGAAATATCCAAGATCTCTCTGTGTAGTTGAAAAATATTATTTTGTTTTTAGAAATCATAGGTAGAAATTCCCAAAATAGAAATACTAAAACTAAGAACATGCTCATGTTTTCTTCACCCAAAGTTCTCTATACAATCCCTGAGGTAACTAATTGTTAAACTAAAGCTGCAAGGATCACAGTTGAAATCACACTCTAGAATGAAACCACCATTTCCCAAATGGAGCTGTAAGGTCCAGAGGGGAAAACGACTCATGCTATTATTGCTCTGAAACGCCCGTGGTCAAACCCAAGGCCCAAACTTATTCTCTCTGTTACAAGCTTTCATTCCCTTCTTCACTCATGTGTGTGAGATTGACTGTATGACTTGTACCCTTATTTTCTTTAGCTGAGAAAATACCTGTGAGAATGAATAAAAGTTATCAAGTATAGAATATATTTAAATACACTTTCAAATTCAGTGACTAACAAGAACTATACAAGCAAGCATTGCCCTTGGAGAATTTGCCCGATGAAGAGACAGACATGATTATTTGGTAGCATATGAATGATGTGTTCAGGAAAGAATGCTCCTGCGATATTGATGGGTCTAGATAAAAAATTGGTTCTCCTTGAAAATGTAAATGTTTCCTTTTAAAAAGACTTTTCATCCCTAATTAAATTAGCCAACTTTTTCTTTATAGGTAACATAAAAGAAAGCTTCACCCTATACCTGCCTGATTCATCACACATTCTAAATTAAGCATGAATATGCATTATAATGTACAAATCAAAACTTTATATAATTATTTGTTCAAATACATAAATATACTGAGACATATGTCAAGATATTGATTCACTCAAACCTAGTCTGCTCACATAGATGTAAGCTTATAAAGATTCAGAAATAATATCTAATCAGTACTTAAAAATGCCTGACAAATACGAGGTATCTAGTAAACATTTATGAATAATTCCTGTCTCTTTTTTGACAGAATCGGAAACTGAGCTTAGTTTGAATTACATGTAAATAGTCTCAGGAAGTTTTAAAATGTATATATAAAATCTAAATAACTAAAACTAGTGTAACAATATCTAAAATAACAAACTTGCTAATGATTCTTCCATTCTATGGATATTGGTCTTTAACATGCTTTTATAATACAGAAAAAAATATCTAGAGACATGTAAGCTGTGTGCTTATGATACATATAAATGTTTCATAGGCACACAGATAACAAACACTCCATATATAATCAGCCAAGCAACTACAGAATTACTTAAGAAATTGAAGCCATTCCCAATATTTATCCATTTTTAAATTAGATAAAAATGCAAATATTTTTCTGCAAATTTATTTACAGCATTAAAATTTTTAAAAGACTTTAACAGTTCCAAAATACTCCATTACTCTACTTAAGGACTTACTTGATGTTTGGGAAATGGCTTATATCTGTTATTAATCAATACATATTTATTAAATACATTTAGAACATAAAAGACACAAATATATTGAGATTTGGGTAGTTGGCATCATTAAAAATAACCCACCGGGGAGAAAAATTACCAATTGATATGATTAATAATCTGGGGCAAATCTTTCACTATTGCCTTTTGATGTTGTTTGTTTTTCTGTTTTGGGTACTGGGGATCGAACTCAGGACCTTGCACTTGCCGGGCAGGCAGGGGCACCACTGAGCTAAATCCCCAGCTTTGCCTTTTGAAATAAAGTCTTTCATTCCCAATTACAACAGCAAAGGTCACTATTCTAGAATATTCTAACTTCTCCAGTATATTCCTGATCTTGATATAGGAAAATAAGTTCACCAATGGGTGTCACTGCAATGTTGCTCTTTGGGTGTGACTTTGACAAATGTCCTTGTGCATTCAATGGCGTCTTCTTTCTCACATCTGGTCTGTGCATATAGTTTTAAAATGCTTTGAAATTACTGTTTTTCTTCATTTCAAAAATAGCTCACAAGAATGTAAGTTGGGACTTTTTCAATAACTATGACCTCGAAGTCTCTAGACTACATTATTTATGGACAATTACATGAACAAGTCCATTAGAGATGATAGAATCATCCTTGGCTTTCAAGGCACTTTCATAATTTATTTTATAGTCGTGGTTGTGTTTTATGGGCTTTAGAGGATGTAGTGTTCTTTTCGACTAAGAACAGAGTCATAAGCTCAGTACAATTCATGAGGTCAAAGCTACTGTCTTGGCTGCATCAGCTGCCACCAAAACACCAGCAAAAAGGCTCTGTAAGGAAAGGCCTGTTGAGAAACTGTCCCCAAGAAATGGGACACGAAAACATTCCCAGGAAGTTAAAAGAGCTGTTCCATGTCAAAGCGATGTTTTTGGAAGATCTCAGCAAATTAAAGTTATTGCTGTGGGATTTCTAAACCACACGTATTCTAATGGTGGACAGATCTGGGCGACCCTTGATGGCCAGCACTAGACCATTGATTCATGCAAATTGGAGTGAGCCCCCCACTATATTATGTGCACTGCAGTGGCTCGTTTACCTCTTTTCACTGCCTCATGGGTGGGTGAAGCCAAGTGCACCTCGAGCTGAGCCTTGGCTCCAAACTCCAGCAGGACGTTGACACACGCAGCACTGCCGCTGCAGCAAGCATTGAAGAGGGGCGTGGCTCCATGAACTGTCACTGCATTGACCTGCCAATGAGCAAAGAGAAATCCAGAGGATTTGCTATTTCTTTCTCACCCTGTCCAGCTATACATTCCTATATGCCTGCCCACGGAAATTCCGCATGCTGATGAGTAAGCGAGGGAACTCTGCATCTTTACAGTGTTATGAAAACTCATGAGGTTTTTGGACAGATCAGCTAAGTTACTACGTGTTAAACACTTAGAGCATTGCCTGATACACTGTAAGCACTGAATGAACATTTGCAGCAACAATGATTTACATTAATATGGAGCTCATTCCCCTTGCAGTTGTGACCAAATATGTCAAGAATCAACAGTACTAAAGAAATCAGCTATTTTAAGGTCCCAGATTTTATGTTGTGAAAAACAATTCCTTGAAAAATCCCATTTCTATTGTCTTCCTTGCCACAGATTTCCTCTATGTTCTATACAAATGACATAAATTCAGTCTACTGGCATCAGCATGGAACCTCCAACCATCCTTAGTACCTTCTAGGGATGTGGGAGGAACATGAGAACCAGAAGGTCTGGGAAGCATCATTGAGTATCAGCAATAGATGGGGAAGGACATCAAGGGACCCAGGCATGCTGATGGGAAGACAGAAATGTCATATCACAATGACGTTTTGATGTCAAACCATTTTGCTTCAACAACTAACGACAGATGATTGTAAAAATCAAGATTCAAAATTATTTTGCTTTAGGAACAAAAATAACTGGTCTCCATATTTCCATTGCGATCCACATGAAAGTGGAAAGTTAAAGATGAAATGCTGAGGTGGTGGAGATAGACCAGGACAGGTAGAAATGTGTGTAAATTCACATTCTAGGGATTTCTAGCCTATTTATATGGTTACTAAAAAAACATTTTGTGTAACTGGTTTGAGTGGTTTTTTTTCTAAGTACCATTTTCGTCCTTAGCCTGGGAAGTCTTCTTATTTGATTTCCTGTAATTTCTATCTTAGCTCTTGGCAACAAGCATTTATTGATCATTTACTAGCTACCAATGTTTTAGATACAAAGATGAATGAGACAATTGCCTCTTCTTCAATAGTTTGGATTTTATTGGGGAAAAAACACAAAAAATGATAATTCTGAAATAGCTATAAGTGCTTTAAATCATTAGGGGTACAGGACAAAGGACAACATAGATTTGGGAAATAGGGGGTAAAATTAACAAGGTTTTGTGATCCATTAAATGGGGAAATGGTAGGTACAGCCTGACTCCCAGACTTAAGAGGGCAGAAGAAATATTTTGCCCAGTCTCTGAAACTAGCAACCCAAGATGAGAAGTAGGTCTGTTTCAGATGCATTTAATGGAGCTGCCAAGTATGAGGAATTTTCTACTGACAGATCCATTCATTCTTTTTTCTCATTTTGGTTTAAATGTTAAATGATGTAATACTGTACAGCATTTATTGGCGCTTCCCTTATAAAACTTCTGAACACAAGGGACTATTGTCTTAATCTTTTTTTTTCCTCTAGTAAAACTCCTCTGTGACGTGAGAGAAATGCTTAACATTTCCCACCAGCAATCTGCTCACAATTCCAATCATCTGGCTTGCAAGGAAATGGCCCTCATACAGCCTCGTCCTCATTGTTACCCATGAGCTAAGTGATAACTTAGAGGAGTTCCACCTAGCGGAAATGCACAACCACAATGGCATTGGAAAATCAGTTTGTGACAGGAAGACTTTTATATTCAATTCTCCATGTAGAAACCAGACTTCCACACAAATGTAAAAAAACATCACCATTAAGTACTTAAAGGCCTTGCAGCTTGTAAAACAAAGCACGTAAGGACTAGATCAAACAATGACATTACCCATAATACATTATCTGACAACTAAGTATGGGTATCATTGAGATTTTTCACAAGCTTTGATTTTTATAAGCCTATTCCTATATTTGTGTTGTACATAGGTCCTCTATAAGCTAAAAATGAGATGAAGCTCAATGTGTGGTTTTTCAATCTGTCATTCATCAAAAGTCCATTCAATTTGGTAATTTTGATCAATAAAAGTAGTGGTTGGCTTAGGGTTGAATTAAGGGTGTCTTTTAATCATTGTGTTAAATGTGTTCTTATAATGTTTTACCACAAAGTTCTTTTGAAGTCAGCATCACAACTTTGAAAGACATCTCTGAATGATGACACCTGAATGCTCACCCATAGGGGTCTAAAGTGAAAAGAGGAGTAACTTGAACGATGGAATATGAACACGGATGGGATCAGATATCGCACCAGGGCAGTGCATGAGCAGCCCAGAAGGTAAAGTCTCTTTGGGCATTGGCAGGTGCTCCTGGGCAAACAGACCCAAGTCATAGGGGTGGTACTCACATGTGCACCGTTTTCTAGCAAGACTTTAGCGCAGGCCACATGACCTCCAAGGCACGCCTCGTGAAGAGAAGAGACTCGGTTAATGGTGACAAGGTTCACATTGACACCCTGTAATCGGGAAAGAAGAGAGTTAAATGCCACAGTGACCACAGCAATGAAAGCAGCATTGCTCAACATGTTTCTCTAGTTTTCTCTGTCTATGAGTCTAAAGACTAGAGGCTGTGACCAGGAAAATCTAAACAAGGCGTGGGAGCCCTGGATGCATTTATTCAACCAATGTTTAATCAGTATTCTGGGTCAGGTAACGCAGGACCTGAGTCTTTAAAATTTATGACATGAGTCTCTCTCCGCCCAAGAGCCTACTGGGAAGAGAGCAAGAATATTGCTACACTGGAAGCATGTTCAAATTTTCACCGCTGGCATGGGTGTCCTTGAGCTGGTTTGAGGAGTAAGAAAAAAAACTTCCCAATGGGGTAGTATTTAGCTAAGTCTTAAAGCATAAACGCTTTCAAGCTGGGAGACAAAGAGTAAGCCACTGGGAGGGAACAGAATAAACAACGTCAGGAAGTGTGGCAGGGCCACAGTAGAGAGCTGGCTATTTCTGGATCAGAAAGATCCTACAGAAAGGGGAAGCAGGAAGGAGATGGAAGAAGATGAGAAAGACGACGAGCTGGGCGGAAACAGCACTGCTTCAGCCACAGCCCTACTGAGTGAAGAGGTCTCTAAATTCCCTGGGTCTGGAGCCAGAGGGATTCTCCTAACCTTCATCTCCTTACCCAGGCATGCGTGTCACCGCAATATCCAGCCATTGTCCCTCCCTGCACTGCCGTGCTCCACTTTCCTCATCCTGGACTCATGAACATTGACAAAGATGGCCTAGCTGCTGGGCACGCCTGACTTCATACCATGATTGTTCATACCCCATGGCTCTCACCATTTCCCCTGTGATTACCACTTTCTCTCTGCAAAAGGAATTAGGTTCCTGGTCTGTCCTCTGTGCAAGCTCTGCTTTTGATTCCCTAACCTACAAAAGCCCCCAAAACCTAGTGCCATAACCCTGAACCTCAAATTTCAACCTAATTCTCACCATGTTCTGCAAGAGCTCCAAGTGCCAGCTGCATCCCTACGATGACCAGCAGCTGGGATTTCTCTCCGTTCTCTGTCCCTTCATCATAGGCCTCTCTATGTTTCCCAGGTCCTGTCCATTTTCATGTCCTGTGTATGACGTCATTAGTCTAGAGCGGTGATGCGTGTTTTCAAATTGGGCCTCTAACACCGTTAAAGTCTTTTCCTTTTCCTTTCCCCATAAATAATTTCCTTTTAAGAAAGTAAGATTTTTAAACTAACCCACAAGGTGGCAGCATTATGCTACAAAAAAAAAAATCAGAATCCTTGGACTTGCAGAAATTGCTGCTGGACAGGCTGAAAGAACATCTAGGAGTGAATCATGCTCATTGTACATGAGAAAATGGAGAAGCAGAAAGTGCAGGTTATATGCAAGACTTGAAGTGCTCCAGCTATTGGTGACAGCCAGCAAAATAGCTGAATCTTGATTTAATGCTTTACTCACAGTGGTTTAATATTTTACTGGAGTTAACCACATTATTTAAATGTGAACTCAAGTTTTTTGAAGTACCATATTTTTTTACTAGCTTGAAAGGTGGGGGTGTAGCAGAAAATTTTAAGCTATTCCATGAAACATTCCTGTACATTATTGAAGTTAACATGCTTGCCTACAAGTAGAGCTAAAAATTTCAAAGTGCTAAGTACAGCATGGGATCCTGGATGTGATCCTACAGTAGGAAAAGTACTGATGCAGAAAGACTGGTGGAATATCAGTTTAGTTAATGGCATCATACCAGTGCTAAGTTCTTTGTTTTCACAAGTGTGCTCTGGCTATATGTAAGATGCCAAAATTAGACGAAGTAAGTGAAAGGTACTCCGTGCTATTTTTGCTATTCTTCTTAAAAACTATCCAAAGATAAAACATTTGTTTAAATACTAATAAAAGGATCGAGGTAGAAGGCTGAGAGGAATAGTTTGATGCAAAATTTCACTGTGTACCTCTTTACATCATTATAATTTTTTGAATTTTGTGAATATTGCATGTTTAAAAATAATCGAATAAGGAAATATTTAAAGTCCTTAAAACAAATAAGCAAGTGGTAAAATCAGGTTCAAATCCCATTGTTGCTGACAGTATTGTTTTCCTTTTGCCTCTACTTACTTTCCTAAGAAATAATGCAACTCAGAAAGGAGAAAGCAAAAACAAAGAAATAAGACATACACAAAAAGAACAGTGCAAGCTGAGCGTGATGGTGCATGCCTGTAATTTCAGCACTCTGGGAGGCTGAAGCAGGAGGATCCCAAGTTCAAGCCCAGCCTGGGAAATTTATCAACTCAGTGTGACCCTGTCTCAAAATAAATAAAGTCTTGGTGATGTATCTCAGTATGAAGGTCTTGGGTACAACCCACAGCGCTACAAAAAAATTGCAGCTGTTTAAATGCAAAATGATAAAGGATTAAAGACTGGTTAGGTGAAAGCTGATAACGTGGAAAAGGGACGTGATGACTGACCTCCTTTGTATACATGTAAACTCCAAACCAAGCAAATAGAGTGAGTACTTTTTTCCTTCCACAAATAATTTCAAGGCTATTACTCATTATTTCAGGAGATTGAAAATATAGTTCCCTTAATAACTAAGACATTAACAAGTCTTCCTATGGTGTAAGATTTATCCATTTGTGGATTTATTTTAATGCTTGATCTTAAAATAGTGTATCATTCAGAGTAGGCAGTTTTTATGCGCAGTATCCACTGACCCCCAATTCCTAACAGTGTCTCACTTGTGCAATTTCTTCCCCTTGAGTACAGGCCAGACTTATTGACTCATATGTAATGAGTAGAATAGGGCAGATGAGACAAGATGATGCTTCAGAGATTAGGTTATTTAAAAAAAAAAACTGGTTTGTTTCTTAGACACTTTCAGAGGGAAGCCAGCCACCATCTCATAACACAGCTCTGTAGAGAGCCCTACGTGGCAAAAAATTAAGATTTGACAAAAACTGTACAAGTAAGTTTGAAAGCAGATCCTCCCCTAGTTGAGCCATGACATGACGGCAGCCCTGGCTGATACTTTGCAAGCTGGAAGCTGCTCCCTGACCTACAGAAACTGGAAAAATCTCCATGTTTGTTGTTTTGAATCACTATGCTTTGTTACACAGCAACAGCAGACAGTTACGACTTCAGGATTATTGTCACTAATGCACATGGGGAGAAGGTGAGATGAATTAGTACAACATGAATGTGAAAGTATCATTCATTGCCCCTCACAGGCAATTGTCCTATGGTAACCAGAATTGCAAAATAAAACTTTTAAAAATTAGGTGTTTTTCTTTTCCTTTAGAGATCAGCAGCTTTCCCCAATTCTTTCCTGCTGAACACATAGAAGCACTCCTTCTTCTCTTTAGCCCTAAAGAAGTGACGTATATCAGCCTCAGGAGGCCAGAAAGGAAGGGGCAGATGGCTGGAAGTGATAAAGCCAGTGTAAAGATCTGCACTGTCTCTCTGTGCTCCTCTCCCCGCTGCTCCTTACCATAACAGACCCTTCATGGTAAACCTCGAGTGGTGGTTTGAAGCAAGTGGGCCCCTCCATCCTCTTGGAGCTAGCTCTGAATGAATTCTTTTCCTTTTTTTTTTACCCAAATATTTGCCCTCCTTTGAATGGGTCAGCAGCCAAGTAGCCAGACCTGAGCGTGTGAGCCCTGGGGTTGGATAACACTATAAGGCAAAGGAAACCCAAAAAAGAAAAGAGGGAACTGGGCAGAATATGAGGCCATTCTTCAGGAAATGAGATGCAAGACAACCAAACAGTGAAGTGTATGAGGATGTATATTCCTGGAGTGGCAGTGCTGGGACCCAGATATGGCAAGCAAGATCTCTGCTACCAACAAAGCTGATAGAAAATGATGCTTGATTTTAGCAGAAGCTCAAAGGATCAAGTCTTTAGTTTACTTACTTGTGCAATTAAAGTTTTAAGGGCCAGTAAGCGCCCCTGGGCTGCAGCTTCATGAAGTGGGGATCGATCAGCCCAGCAGTCTGAAACACAAACCAAGCTTAGAGTCAAGGTCTGCAGACTTTCCCTGCAGCACATTCATGCTGCCCACCCACTGTGAGGAAAGATTTGGGAGAAAGGAGAAAGGATGCGGGTATCATGCATCAAGCTTTTTTGCCAGCTGCTGTTCAGTGACAGGCTACTGTGTGTAAATTCCATTAGTTTGGAGGACTGTACAAAGAGGGGAACAGTAGATCTCTCTGGCTTTGGGGGTAGGGGGCAGTTTCAACAAAGCAATATATTTAATTCAAACAAATTGTGCAGGGCACTTGATCCAACAGCTCTAAAGAAGGCAAATGAAAGACAACACAGGTCAATGAGCTTCCACAACTTTCATTCTTTCCGTCTCTCTACCCCATCCATACCCAAAGGATTAAACAGACTGTGCACTAAAGAAGAGATTCTAAGAGTTCAGAGAAAATGTCTTTTTCCAATTCTCTAAGTAAATGCCTTTGTTTCTTTTGATAATGAAGTCTACTTATTGTAATGCAGAATGGCAGCTTTAGGTTTTCTGATTATATTTGCCCCCAAAGATTTTTTTCCTTCGACAGCTTTATTATGGGTAGTTTACTGTGATGGCTGAGCAGAGTTTTATCAGAACCACCTGGGTTCAATTCTACCTTGACTACTCTGCCAAAATTAGCACGCTGTCAAAATTAAACCTCAATGTCCTGATCTGTAGAATGGAGACAGTGATGAGTATTTGGCAAGTGCTTTGGCCTTTAAGAGGGCCAATCAAATGGATCCATATGCTAGGTACACAGGATCAACCATATATGATTAATAAACAGGCATGGTAGAACAGTATTCTAAAGAACAGCTTTAGAACTATTCTTATGAATTTGTTTTTCTTATAATTGTTTCTCTGCAACCAAGATTAACCAGCTAAATGGGTATTTGAGTAGTAACCCTCTATAAAAAATGCCAAAGAGCAATCCTTTTTTTTTTTTTTTTTGAGGAAACCCTTTTTTTTTTTTTTTTTGGAGGAACACCTACTCCAGTTTGCACAATTTGGGCATTTTTCAAATTATGACTATACTATTCATTAAAAGAATGTAATAGAATTTGGATTTAATACAAAAGACCCTTCTTGACCTCTTCTAGGTGATCCCAGTGGTGATAAGATCTCAGGCTTTCGTATCTGCACACTTGACAAAAACAAAAATGGAATTTGTGTGAATTTGAAATAAAGTCTCAAGAAAAGAATAAGCTTTTCCAGTGAGTAAGAACCAGAGTTATAAGCATTTCAATAAGCCTTCTATCTATCTGGAAACCCAATGTAGCCTCTCTAATTCTTTGGGTTGAAAGAAGTGGGAAAAAGTAGAATGAAGTTTGGATTGATACTGGAATCATTGGTAGAAATTTTTGATATTTAATATAACAAGATAGATATAAAGTAAATTTAGGTGTAAAATGTAGATGTGTATCTATAGTCATATTATTTTAAACATTGTGCTCCAAGAAAACCAAACCAAGGCTCCCTAGAGAAAAGACTGACCCCAGGCCCTGGCCAGAAAAAATATGTAAGGCTAGCTTGAAATATCTTGTCAGAAAGGAATAAAGTGCTCAGACAATAGGAAATATCAAAAAGACACAGAACCCGATGTAGTGGGGCTTCCACTGCCAGACATGGGGCAATTCAAGCATCACAATAAACAAAGAGTATAAGACATTATATGCTATCAAATAAAATAGAAGCCTATAAATCCTCACTGATTCAGATAACAGAATATTTAGGAGTTCTCACTCATAAATAGTATACAAATATCAGAAAAGAAAGTACTCCCTCAAAGTAGAAGGCCAACTTAGAAATGTAGATGCAAAGACAGAATGAGCCCCTTTTTATTTCTCCACCCAAAATTTATCAACAAAAAGCACAGGAGTAATTGTACAGAGGAATAAGGCTGGCGTGGTGGTGCAGGCCTGTAATCCCAGGACTCGGGAGGCACAGGCAGGAGGATCGCTGCAAGTTCAATGTCTGCCTGGGCTACATAGTGAGTTCAAGGCCAGCCTGAACTACATAGCAAGACAAAAAAAAATCACAGAAACTACCTTACCCAGATGATGAACGTTAACATAAGCGGAGATGGAGCAAATTGGCCCTCTGTGCCATTTGATGAAATGCAATGAGCTGTGTCACTTGCCATCAGAGGGACCACAATGAGAAAACCAGGCCACTGCTTCTATACCATTCCTGTTCCAAGATGCATAACCTGATTCTGATCATGAGGACACTGCACCAACTCAAACAAAATAACTGGCTTAGAACCAATCCAAGGAGGAGCTGAGGACTGCTCCAGATTGAAGGGGGCTGACAAGACACAACATCTAAAGGCCACATTTACCCCTGGATAGGATCTTTATATTACTAAGGACGTTATTGAAACAGGAGACTAAACAGGAATGGGATCTCCAGGCAAAGAGAAGTGGAAATTTTTGCAAGGCTCTTGTAACCTTTCTGTCAGCTGAAATTAGTTCCAAAATAAAAAGTAAAAAGTGAAAGATATACGATAGATAATATCATTTGTGATCCTATGCACCCGATGCAGAATACCAAGCTCCCCTCCTCTTAGGTGCCTCTTATCTAAACTTGTAGTTTTAGGAACCCATGGCTTTCAAGAGAGGAGGGAGCCTTATTTTAAAAGTGAGAACAACCTGAAATACATGAGAACCACTTTGCCCCACATAAAGAAGTCTCAGGCCTAGTGTCAGAAGTAGGACTGGACATCAAGTTTTAAGGACTCAGAAAACAGCTTACTCTGGTTTCTAAGCTCTGCCTAACCTTGTGGTAGGTCACTTGTCTTAGGATGCTCTGACATCTACCTTCCCTCAATAAATGCAACGAAATAAATCGACTGTATCACCCCAAAGTAGAAATCATTTTTTGTTTCCCAGCTGAAAAGAATCATTCTCAAGGAAGTAACCTTACAAGTCCCACTGTTTTCCACCAATCTATTCGAAGGACCTTGAAGGGTTTTTCACACAGAACTATTTCCTTGTAACTGCCAAGGTGAGAGTCATCTGTTTTTCTGTGCTTGTTCCCAACACAGTCACTCATTCTTATCATTTTCATTTTGCAAATTGGAGCTAATTATGAGAAATTAAGGATAGAAGTTATTTGGCAGGTTGGAAATTTTTCCATTCCTTTCAAGAAATATGCAACTAAGCTCTCCAAGTAAATGAATGCTTAAGTAGGTCTCAACCCTTCTCTTCTGAGGCAATCTATTTTTAGTGATTTGGCAGACTGCCTGGGTCACAGGGCTGCAAACACATTATGAAGATAGTTTACTCTACAAATATATTTACTTGTTCCTGATGAAGTGTTCGGAAAATGTTCAAGTACTTTTTCATTTCCTCCTTTGATTATTTTTCTCAAAATGTGAGTTATATATCTAGTTCTCAAATTCTTTGGATAACAATTTCATGATGAATTCTGAAGCTATATAATTCAATGATAAACAAAAACGATACGTCAGATGGAATATACTAAGTTCCAAGAATGATAAAACTAATTATTTAAAAAATTATTATAGTTGTTACCCTAATTTCAATAAAGATTTGAAATTACTAGTTTATTATTCCGAAAGACCACTTAACTGGTTATAATCCCCAGTGCACATGTATGTAACAACCTTTATTCTCTTTATTAGAGTTCTGAAATCATACAAAGCCATATCTCCCATAGCATTTTTTTTTTTTTTTTTTGGTACCGGGGATTGAACTCGGGTCCTTGCGCTTGCAAGGCATAGCATTTTTTAAAGAAAAAAATTTCATAAATAATGTCCATTTTTAATCAAAAAAGGTAAAAACATAGCAGAATTAAGACTGTTTTAAAGAAAACAAAGGTAATTGAGTAAAACGTTGTAATATATTTCCTGAGATATCTAAAATATTGTTAAAATGAATATTCTTTAGAACATCCAGTTCTGGTAAGAAGGTAAAACTCAGTAACCAATGTTAGACATAAAGAGCAGGTTAGAAAGAAGGCTCCTTTGACCCATTCAAGGGCAAGAGAGCTGAACTAAAGATGAGAAATAGGGAGGCAAAGCCTCTACCAGGAACTAGTTTTCACAAACTGAAAAAAGCCAGAAGGCACTTGAGCTATGTAGCCACTCAGGGGATGGTAAGGCTAAGGCATGAGAACGCAACCAGCAGAACTAAATAAATAACAGAGCCAGGGAGAGGTTTGGGCACAAATTGAACAAAGGAAGAAAGTCCTTTGGAAAGGACAGGAAAAAGGAGCCAGGTTGAGGAATCAGGCAGAAGCATGGCTGTTAAGTAGGATCAGTCTTTTGAATCTAGAATGAGGACAAGTATTTTTGAGTGTAATACTTAGAATTAATCTTTTAGACTTAGCTTTGAAAAGCTTTTTTTTTTTAAGAGAGTACTATAGTTCTACAAACTCTTATCTGAAATTGTGAAATCCTCCAAATTCTGAAAACCACACTTTCCTCTAACTGTGATGCAAACTTCTTTGGCAGTGAAACACGGCCAGGACTCAGTTTAAGCATTGTTTTTATTTGTATTTTTACTTAGCTTAAGTATTTATTTGCACACTGTAAAATCTTTCTAACACTCAAAAGATCCTGAATTCTGAAACTTATCTGAGCCATGAATTGTGGATAACAGGTTCTATCAGCCTATATCTGCATCTCATTTTCATCACCCTTGTTGACCAGCTCATAGTACTAAATATAGCTTGGTACAAACAGTAAAGGTTGAAAACTCAGACAACATGTCTCTTTGGAGAAAGAGAGTGCTTGCAGATATATCTGTCATCTGAAGGGGGGATTCCAGTAAACCACCTGGTGCTGTAGGTATAAAGCCAAGGGGCAGGGACAATGTTGCAAACCATATTTACTGATAAAAGGCATAAAGAAGCTTAAAAGATCAGATCTAATAAACAGCCAGCTATAGCTTGACTGAACTCTGAGGAGTTCTATGCAAATGTAAGTTTAAACTACAACGACACCTCAAATAATCATTCCAGAATATGAAATTCCAAGACACAACTTCCAAGAGATTTATTGCCCCCAAAGTAATACCTTATGAGGGATGTAATGTGAGGTGAAACTTCCAAAAGAAAGAGTGCCCAGAATCTAAGAAAGTTTGAATCCTACCCTGGCTGATTTTTCTGATTTCTCTTTGTTTTTAACATTGCTGTGAACAGTTCACAAGAATGTAATATTTCAGCAGAATCAAGAAATTTAACCTTGAGCTGAGACCATTGAAGTCAATTAACTTATCGATTAATCATCATATATTTTCTCAAGAAACATTCGTCTGACTGATGAACAGCAAAGATGAGTTCTGGTTTCACACTTAAAGAAAATGTTGTTGATTTTAATATATCTAGATTTGAATATATGGTATCTGACTACTTGCAGTGTCAAAAGAAAAAACACTGTTAGGATTGTATAAAAACTATTAGTCCTTGCATGTTATGGCCACATTATTTATAGAAAGACTCATGTATCAAATCTGGTTGTATTGTGTGCCTCATATATGTGTGTGGGAGTATAGGGACACAGACACACCCAAGCATACACATATATAGGAAGAAAATTAAACTGCGAAGTTAACATGCACTATTCTCACCTCAGCCTCTTGTTAACAATAACTTAAAATATGTTTTTGACCTTATAATGCTAATTATGTTTCTTACAAATTCAGTAAGTATGATCCTAGGAACTTGAACAAGGAAATCTACTTGAACTAGAGCGTGAATTAATTTATTTAATAGATATGAATTATAGCTCCAGAAATAGATGTAAACTATGCTTACATGGGGTTTTTTTTCACTACTATAAAATCTTTTGAAGAGTGTACTAAAGTAAGGACCACAAAATAGGAATAACACATAAGAGCAATGACAGAAAACATCTCTACACAACTTTGTTGGACTTTACCTAATTTAAACCATGAGGATGATATATCTATGAGAACATCAAAATTATTACTAAAGATTCTAGAATGCTTCCGTACAAATTTACAAATTAAATTAGAAAATGGCTTTCCAGATCATGCTTTTAACTTGGAACTAAAAAGAAACGTTAATATTGTTTTTCACCAGCCAAAGTAACATACCTCCCTGAAATGTGTGACAAATGTAATCCCCAAAAGAAATCTCTTTCCATAGTCCAGGCCTTCTGACACTTTCTGAAACTTCAAAATTCTTCTCATTTTCCCCAGTTAATTGAAGCATTCTGATGCTTCGTCTTTGGAGGTCTTATTTCTTTGGATAACACTGCTGATGTCTAGTGTTTTCCAAGTTGTCCAGTGTATTGGAATCACATAGCATAAGACTATTTTGAAAGAGAATCCTGGATGCAAATGGAAATGGATACTAGATAAAGAGTGATGTGATCCTGGCACCCCTGCAAACACTAAAAATACATAGGAAATTCTGAACTCTTTATATATAAATACTCCTCTATTAAGTAACAATCGAGCAGTGACAGGGATACCTGATTCATTGAGCTTTGTAGCATCTCACTACAATTAAGGTGAATTTTTTCTTACAAGAAATGTAACTAACTTGTACAAAGCATGAAACCTTAAGATATTTTATCCAAAACTTGGCATTTCATATTTTAATAAGCTCTGTTTGTGGTGCTTTGCATGGAGCCACTTACAAATGGGTTTAGTGAAGCATTTTTCCTGACCTAACAACTGGTTAATCAATTCCATTTCCAAAAAGAGCACAGAAATACATATAGCATGCCACGTTTGTTGCTTTGAATTCAATTTGTTGGTCATTCTATTTCCTGAGAAAATTTAGTCTTGTTCAAACACAATGTATTTTAAAGTCTGATTAAAAATATTAAAGAAAATAAGGCCATATAAGTAATTCTTTTGGCCAGTAGAAATGAAGTTCCTTAAAATACTCTCAGAAAGCCACACACTCTATTTACTTCTTAGAATATTAATAGATCTACTGACTTGCAAAGAAATAAAGCTGAAAATCTTTCACAAGTTGGTGTACCCAACACCACTTGCTAATTTAATTGTTAGGTCATTTTTTTTAACTACCCACTCAAACTCAAAGTATACAAAAAACATTCCTTCTGGAAATACTGTTCTGATGAATTATCTGGGGGTGGTACTTTTTAAGCACTGGGAATAAATTCATGAATTTTTACCTGAAATTCCACCATAGATCTCTTCTGCTATCCTAGCAGCTTCTTTTCTATTTCCTTTGACGATATAGAAATGGGTTAGGAGAGCCAAAAAAACTTTAATTAAAAGCTTGAAGAAAAAAAAGGTAGCAAACATCGTAATAAAAATGTTTTTAAAGCCATAGAAAACAGGACCATCTTCCATTTTGGCTTATGCTCTGTATAGGTTCCTATGACTGCAAATTTTCACAGAGTTGTAAGTGGTATCATATGACATCTATTTAAAACCTTCTAGCACTCAGTGCTCTTATTACTGAGGACTTAGTTTGTAGGTTCTAATCTAACTCTGATTTGATGACTGGACTGCTTATGCAGACGTCCATGACAATGTTGAATAAAGAAATTCTCTTCTAAACAAAAATACTCAGGACTTCTAGAACTACATTACTCAGTACTGTCTAAGAGAAGATTTAGGTCTGAAAGAGTTTTACTTTTAAATTGCTGCTTTAAATAAATAAATTGCTACTTTTGCTATATTATATTGGAAAATAGTTGTGGAAAAATAAAAGGTAATTTTCTGACCCCATAGGAACAAAGTAAGCTATTTGATGTTCATACAAAGAAGTACAAAGATATGCTATGTTCTTAGTAGAAAATTCTACTCCTGGCAACATTTCATTTTCTTTTCATTCTGAGGTTTGTGGAGGATTAAGCCCAAATCTAAAATACGACCAGTTTTTTAAAAAGACTATTTTAATGGGAAATAGGAAGAAAAGGGCTAAAGGAGTAGGGGAAGTGGGAAGGGTAGGGGAAAGGAAAGAAGGGAAAAGAAAAATATGACAAAAGGAAAAACTGGAGAAAGTCTCTGTAAATAGGGAAGGGTGAAGGGGGTGAAGGGAGGGCAGGGGGATGGGGAAAGGTAAGAACCAAGACCTGTCATGTAAAGGTAGGAGATCCCAACGATGAATTTAACTGTACTGTATACCTCAAAAGTACCAATAAACTTAATGAGAAAAGACTATTTGCTCTACAACAATACTTAATAAACTTTCCATCTTGGATGCCTGAGTGAAAGGGGGACAGTGACTGGAAGTTTTACACTATTTGCTATGGTGGTTTCACCCACGACAAAGTCCCACAGCAAGGTTCCTTCCCAATCATTCGTTTCTATTTCAAACATCAGGAAAGGTGGTAACTCGTTCTGCAAAATGCAGTCCGTGCCTGATCATGGAACAATCATAATGAAATGGACAAAAGAGATGCCTCAGGATCTCAGTGAAGTAACCAAAGATTCCACGAATCAGTACCTTCTCTAGTCGGACAATATTTTGTCATCAGCTGGCCAGCCCAAGTGAAATTGATTTATATTTAATTTTCTGCATCGTGTCTTTTCTTTCATTCTTAATTTCTGAAACTCTTTGAAAAGGCAAGCCAAAATAAAATTTTAAGATCAGACTAAATAAATCTTATTTCATAAATGCTTTATGCAAAAATATGGGAGTTTTCTACAGCACTCCAGCAATTTAGCATGACTACTTCTACAAGAATTGTTTCACTATACTCTTGTGAAGGCTGAAACAATACAATCTTCAGCCATAAGATATAGCTTATCCATTTCACTGTATTATAGAACTATAAAGATTTTTAGTTGTTTCCACTCTCAAGGCTCAGATATTAGCATTTAAATCTTCCTTATCAGACTTAGATTATCTGCTAGAACGCCAATGTAGGAAAATATGTGAATACAAGTATCGCAACTCTTCTCATTTATCTCTTTCTTCAATTTTTCTACTCAAAGCAAGCTAATGTACACTCATGTCAGTCCAGGAATGTATATTGCATAATTAATTCAATCTTGTTTTGATTTTAACTTTCTCTTAAAACATAGCTGTCCTTTCCATGTTTTACATACCAGAAGTTGATTCAAATGGATGGCTGCATTATTTCTGAGAAACCATATTTACTACAATTATTATATTTGAGATGGGTATAAAAAGTTACTGATTCATACGAATAGTTGATTCATCTGTCTTTGACAGATGAAATAATCAACACTACCAGTTTCTCAACCACGGCATTATGGGTATTTGGGGCAGATAATTCTGTTATTGGGGGCTGGCCCAAGCCATGTGGAATGTTTAGCAGTGACCCTGATTTCTACTTACTTGATGTCAATGCCACATCCAATCCAGCGGTAACCAGAAATGTCTCCAAACTTTGTCAAATATCCCCTAGGAACAAAATCTGCCCCCTCAAACCTTCCAGTCAAGATTCACTGAGCAATAGCTCATGTTATAGTTTATAGCTGGATGTCCACAGAAAGCCCCATGCACTCAGAGGTGGAATGTTTAAAGGGTGATTAAGTTATGGGGGAACTATACCTGGCTTAGTGTTTGGAGGCAGGACCTAGTTCAAAGAGGCAAGTCACTAGGGGTGTTGTGATTTGGAAGGCCCGATCTCCTTTGACTCCTCCCTTCTCTCTGCATCCCGGACACCATCATGTTTGCAGCTTTTTGCCACCATGCCACTCTGCCGTGCTGTTTCTCTTTCGAGCCAGCCCACCATGGACTGAAACAGCCAAAACCTTTCCTTTAAGTTGCGGCTGTTGAGTATTTAGTCCTTTTGTTGAGGACAGTGACAATAAGACAGGTTTTATTACTAGGAGTGAGGTCGTTGTTGTGACTGTTACCTGACCATGTGATTCAGAACCCTTTGGAGCTAGTTTGATGGAGAATTTGTAAAGGTTTCGAGACGTCAGCTAGAGAAGCAGCCCATAAGCTGAACTTGATGGGAGATCCTGGTCAGAGTATAGGAATGCTGATGGAAAGATAGATGGTAAAAAGACTAGGCTCAGGTTTCAGTCTGGAACAAAGACTCAATTGGCATTTGGGCCTGGGCCCTGTGTTTTATGCTGTGGCAGAAAATTTGTCTACATTTTACTCATGTCCTGAGATTTTTCAGGAGACTGAGATTAAAGGTGGTAGATTAATCTGGTAGAGGAAATTTCAAGACAGCCCAATATTGAGACTGTGGTATGAGTATTGGTGGGGGGTAGGCAACTGTACATTAAGAAACATGAGCAAATGGCAAAGCTGAGAAATTTTTAAAGTTTTCAATTTCCTGGAAAAGAAGCTCCTTTAAAGTTGGGGGCCCCTAAAGGTGGAGCAAAGGAAAGCTTAATTGCTGAAAAGATTAGCATTAAAAAGCCATGCAGTGTACAGTAGGACAATAGAAAAAATGGCTTGAGGGTATGTCAAGAATCAGCAAGATCCCTCCCTTCACAGGCTCAAGAGTATAGGCTGTAAAATTTTCATTTGAGAAGAGAGCCCCAGGACACCATACTGGAGAAGAACATAGGAAATTTGTTCCCTGGGATCCAGTTAAGTGCTCAGCCATCCAGGCACTCAGAGGTCTCTGCAGCCGAGATTTAAAGGGGCCTGGCTACTACTTGACGTGGCTGCAGACTTGACATCACTCATGTGGTGCTGTTTTTAAATGCATACAGAATCTAAGAGTTGTGTGGTCAGGGTCTTGGAAGCTTCTACCCAGATTTCAGAATGCCTGGGAGGCCAGGCAGTGAATGTAACCCGGAGGGCAGTGCATGAAGTTGAGAGGGTGAAACTGAAATTGCAGTAGAGATCTCTGGAAATTGGAGAAGCCAGGAATGTGGAAGGTCTGAGAAAAGCAACAAGAAGTAAGCAAAGCCAGCCAAAGAGAGAAGCCACGAGAGCTACATCCACTGGCAACACTGTAGGGGTGAAGCCACCCAAGCCTTTTGGAATTCACATATTGCACAACTTCCCCCTGGGTGTTGGAAAAAATAAGCTAAAGTATTTAATGTTCACCCTGCTAGGTTTCTGTCTTACTCTGGTCGATTGGTTTCTATCCCAGTTTCCCTTTTGGAATGGGAATGTTTATCTTGTACTACTTTGTCTACAGTGTTTAAATTCCTGATTTTTACAGAGGCTCATAGCTAAAAGTTTTGCCTCAAGTCTCAGGAGAGACTTTGGATTTGGACTCTTCAGTAATACTGAAACTGCTAGCAATGGCAACTCTTAAGAGATGGACTAAATACATTTTGCACAAAAGAGATACACATGAATCTTCTGGGGGCCAGGGGTGATGTTATAGTTTATATGCAGATGTCCCCCTAAAGCCTTGTGGGCTCAAAAGTAGGGATTTTAGGTGAATGGATTATGAGATTATGGATTATAGCTGATTTGTCAGGAGGTGTAGTCTGGTCAGAAGGGTTGGGTCACTGGGTGTGTGTCCTAGAAGAGTTTATCTCTGTCTCCATATCCTCCCTTCTCTGCTTCCTGGCTGCCATGAGTTGAGCAGCTTTTTTCGCCACGCTGTTTCTCTTTTGGAGTTGGCAGATCTTGGACTGAAACATGAGCCCAATAAACCTCTTGTCCTTTAAGTCGCCTGTGTCAGGTATTTTATCTCAGTTATGAGTAAAGTGACTAAGCCTATCAGAAATGATAAAGGCTAAAATAAAATCAACTCTCCAAAGTACAACATAATATAAATCAAATTCTAGATACAATTTTAATTTTCATAATTCACATGAAAATCCAACAATAGAATGATACAATTTAACATTTAGTCACATCTTTTTGGGAACAGATGAGGCCTTTAAAAATACTTCACCAAAGTAAACACATATTTATGATACCCTGATGATGCCAAAAATAATTTCTGGCAAGATAAATCAGAACATATAGATGTAGGTGATGATTGCTTTTCCACTGCTTCTAACAAAAGGGGTCGGAAAAGCTGGGCTCCTTTAAATAAACTCAAAATTCAAGTTTCTTTTAAAATAGCTGGTAAGATATAAGGTATTACATAGTTTACAGACCTGTTTGGATTAGGAAACAAAGCCAAAATTGAACTTGCAATTCTATGTGTAATAAAGAACATACATTCTAGAAATAAGACAGTGACTCATCATCCGGAGATTATCATTTTTACTGTTAGTCAGCTTTTTGTTATTGTGATAAAATACCTGCAAAAATCAATTAAAGGAGGAAAGATTTACTTTGACTCAGTTTCAAAGGTTTCAGTCCTTGGTAACCGGGCTCCATTGTTTTTAGGCCTGTGAAGAGGCAGAAATATCATGGCAGAAAGGAGCGATAGAAGAAAGCTGTTCACCTCGTGGCAGTCAGGAAATTGAATGAACAGAGCCAGAAGGACGGGGTCTGGGGACAAGATATAGTCCCTAAGAGCACACCTCTATGACCCATTCCTTTCAACTAGGCCCCACGTCCTGTTTCCACAACTTCCCAATAATGTTATCAAATTATGAGCCCATCAATGGATTAATCTACTGATGAAGAAAGGCCTAATCTCTGCATATGGCTGCTCTGAGTTGAGGACCCAGCTACCAAAACATTAACCTTGGGTGACAAATTGTATCCAAGCCTTAACAGGACCAGACCAAGCAACACATACATTACACTAAAAAAGAAAGTGGGGAAGGGATCAGTGGAGGCTTGTTCCACTAATAAATCATAGTCCAGCCATAAAACACGACAAATTCAGAAAATTGTCAAAATGTCATTCTTTATTTTTGGACATGTAGCATGTTTTAACAAATCAGTTACATGTGCAACTGCTTGTAACATAAAAAGAAATACATCTGTAATAAATTCCTCATCATTATCAAGTTCACTTGCAAATAAATTTAAGTAGCAGGGCAGAGCAATGTGTTTCCACATACTGACCAGTGCAACACTGACAGTTATAATTAAGGTATCCAGGAAGCCTGAAAATGAAGATTTAATTTAAGACAAATAAATTTACTTCCATTTTAAAAAGGTAAAATAATTCTGACTTGTAAATTACACATTTTATAAGCAAAATTAATCACTTTTAAATTCTATTTTCATCTTAAATGACAATTCATGAATTAAACAATTTTGAAAAAAATAGAGAAAAAGGGAAAATAGCAGTGTACCTTTAAAAACTGATGAGTAGAACAAGTGAAACCAAATATTAACCATTTCTCATTTTATCATGAATATTGGCACTGTTTATTTCATATCTATGTCAGTTTCAATGCATAAAAATCTTAATAAGACTGAATGGTTAGGGTAAGTCCATTTTTCTCCAACAAAAGAATTTCTAACTTCTATATCTTAAAAATTGCACTCTTGCATTTATGTTTTAGTATAAACAAAACACTGATATATTTCTTTTTATATCAGTGGCAATCAGGTAATAGGCATAAGATACTTTTTAAAAGGTAAGACGTTTCGTGAATGCTGTCATTAAAAATATCCTGTACAGAATCACAATACTGAGAGAATCTATCCAGTGTACACACAAGTGCCTCACTGTTTTGATTTCATAGTCCTTTTTTCACAAAAATGTACTCTAAAGAGTTCAAAGCATAATACACACCATGTGGACAATTGGGGGTTAAAAACCCATGGCTCTGGGCAACAATGATTACAGTTAATAACATCCACCCACAAAGAGACTTGTGTTCCTAAAATTTTCAGACTTGGTTTGCTATAAATAAAACATTCTGGAGAAAAGCCTTTTGCACACTGACAATACTTATCAGACATCAGCTAGGCCACAGCAGAGGGTAGTGACTTATATCAAAAGGATACAGTAGCAGCTGGTTTTGAGATGGCATACCTCATACATTCTGCTCAGGTAACAAGAAGGTATTTAGAGGACTAAATTATGTATTGAAAAATGTGGAGGCTTTCTCTGCATTATCATCAACAGTGATATCGGTCCCTAGAATTTAAAAAGCAAAAGGGCTCTTCATAAACAAATGGGGGCTCTACCTAGGAGAATACATACAACATGATCAAAGGAGGACTTGGAATATACCAGCGATGTCTTCCTGGCATTAACTAGCATGATCATTTTTGGCATGTTAATATATTTTACCATCTCATGTCAGCCATGACTATAATGAAGTAAGCCGTGTGAATGATAAAGTGTGGTCCTTAGCAGCAGTTTACACACAGCAGGTGATCAAATCATGCTCATTAGCTAACAGACCATCTCATTCAAGAAACCTGCTGATTATATGTAACACTTACTGAGTGGACCCAATAAATGCTTAAGAGCATCACTTAAATGCCTAATAGATATCTATGAATATGTCTTAAAATAGTTTCCGTAATTGGTATACTTCCCTAAAGAAAACCTGTAAACATTTAGTGAATGTCTAAGCAATGATTTAACAATAAAAACTGGCCAAAAATGCCCAGAAACATTTGGCCCTTCAGCACCCAAAGCTCTCAAAATATGTTAAAACATCTCTGCTAGAGGGATTTCAATATCTGAAAAATTTCATACCTGAGTGGCTTGAATGTTCTCTCCTAAATTGTAAAGAAGTGCAAGGAGTTTCTACACTCAGGAATTGCATAAGTTTCTTTCCTCAAAATAAATAAAACATTGAATGATAGAGAGGTAGCATAACTTACTGAATTAACTTTAAAAAACAAAAACAAAAAAGCAAAGTTATTTTCAATAGTCTTAACAGAAGTGTTACAAATGTTTAAAACTTTACAAGGCAGGCTTTCTTCTACCTGGTTTTAGACACCTTCTTATTGTCACCCCTTTCTTTACTGTGAGGAGAGTGATGAGTCCAGGCACCCCTTGGCCCAGTGGCATCTATTGCAATATCAATAGTAGAATCTGGAGAAATCCATTTCAGGAAGATAAGGAACAGATAGTTGAAAACAGCCAACAAAGCAAAAATGTGGCCTGTTATTGGGCCACAGTGAGAAATGAGCCTATCCAGCCGCTTGTCCATGGGCAACACATCTTCCTTCAAAACCAGCTCATACACCTGGAGGAGAGAAGGCCAAGAATAAGGGCTTGGAGTCAGAACACTCTCGTGACGAACGACGACCCACCCCGACTAAGAATGTCTCAGAAACACATGCAAACAGAAGTCACCTGTGCTTGGCATTGTTACAATAATGACATCCTTAATGAACTTAATCACAATAATTACTCCCCTTTGATTCAATACTTATCGGGCACATAATCTGGACGAATCACTGGGCTCTACACTGTGATAAAAAGAATAAGCTACATTGCTTTCCCCTAGGAGATTAGCATGGATTTCAGCTGAGTACTAGAATACCAAAGTCCTGCAAAGTCCAAATAGCTTTTCAGGTCACGCCTGCAGGGGTGATATTTAATTGAGCAGTGACTTGAGAGGTGTTCAAACAGGACCGGCCTTTTCAGATGTGTTGGGTGGAGAAACCTTTCACTGGCCTCTGGCAGACAAAAAGCACAATTACAGCACTACAGTAAGTGGGCTTCTAGGGACACACAGGCTCTTCTTTCAACAATTGTGCAAGGCCACCCATGCTGCTGAGCACGGTAGGTAAGGATATGGAAAAACATTTCAGAGATTGCACGTAAAAGGGGGAAGATGGGATAAACTTTAATAAGGCGTATAGGTCAAATGTTGGCAAACAAAGTTTACTGCTAAGAACTGGTAGTGGGTCACTTGTTTTTTAAAACTGCTGAGTGCAAAACTCTAAAATATTAAAAAAAACAAAGATCTTTAAATATACCTGTGTAGAACACATCAAATGAGACAGCATTCCTGTTTTGCAATTGCACTTGGGAATTACTTGTGCTTGGTCTCACATAATGGACCTGTATATTGTCTTCTTTTGAGTTCAAGAAGTTACAACAAATGCAACTTCTACAGGTCAGTGGCCTTTCAAAGGTACGGCATGTTTTCATCTAGCTCTTCTATCCTGAGGACATTTTAAATATAAGTATTTTAATCAGAATGATGTTGAGGATTATGCCGAGGCTGGCAGATTGTAATCCAATAGTGTGCTTAGAGCATGAAGTCCAATTTAATTTTGTGATCAATTTTTTAAATAGTACAGGATCAGGGCCGGGGATTTAGCTCAGCAGTTCGGTGGCCTGCCTTGCCAGCACAAGGACCCAAGTTCAATCCCCGGTAATAAAAAAAAAAAAAGTACAGGATCAAAATATCCTACAGTTCAAAGACCAAATACAAACTGATCTACTTATCCAGCTCTACTTCTATCCATTTATTTATTTTCTTAAGCGATAATAATTTACTTATAAAAAGAGAATGTGACAATCTGTTATAAATGAGAAATTGCTTTGTTCTAAACGTATGCTACAAATTACCAGACCATAAAAGAGAAAAACTAAGCGCTTTATTATTTTAAATATAACTACATGAAATATGGTTATAAAAACTACCCTAATTAGCTCCTTAACAAATTGTCACCATAGTCCTTTTCCTCTGAATTTCTTACCCATCATGGCTCAGAGCTCTGAGTTTGTATCTTCCTATCTACCAAGAAGGTAAAGTCACAACTTACAGAGCTGTGATCCTGTAGGGCGGTCAGGGCTTTATCTCCAAAAAAACCTCTCTAGCCACACATTCCTGCCAACCATACCACAAATTCCATCTCTGCTCCCCAAGGGTCACATTAGATTCCAGGGAGTGAGTGGGGAGATGAGACAGGAAGAGGGAGGCTGCAGAGTATGAAGAGGCTACTTAGCTGTCTGCCACATACACACACACCCCACAGGTGCCAGACTCCACCTTCTGAAGGAAAAGGTAAGCTATGTCACAGGGCGGAGAAACTACAAGACTTCTAGAAGGTCAGACTGTCTTAGATACTTCGGCTGAAAAATTTAACTGTTTCAGAAGTCTCTTGTTTTCATGGGAAATGTTACTATGTATGTATGACCATCTCTTTAGAGATCTGTAGAGATAAAGCGGTTTTCGAGTTCATATTCAAATACAGGTTCATTTTATATACTGGAACTTAGAATTTGAAACAAAGCTTTATAGTAAAGAGCTATTCTCTGCTTGAATACATGGGCAATATAAAACACCAGTCTGAAACTGCAACCTTTTCCATGCTCTACCTGGCTGCTTTTAATGTAAGAAAACTAGCAGTTTCTATTCAGTTTGATACATGGCAAGAGGCAAAAGGCAGAAGCAGATATGAGAAAGACCAAAAGGACGAAACTCAGAAGAAGAAATGCAGTCCCCTCGGGAAGCACATCTCGTCATGTGCTCTCCTACCTAAGGTTTCATCTACTTTCTGTACCCGTCCTTTGGAGAATGCTCTATTGCTGCTTTTCATTTGTCACCATTTTTCTCATTTTTCACATATATTTTGGATTCTAACTTAATATGATCTCTATGAGCCCAAACATGTAAAAATCATTTTCCTGTAGAAAATTATCATGGTTAGCAAAAGCATGACAGAAAGTTTAGGAAGTAGCTTGAATCACATATCAACAAGTTATAAAGTACTGTAAACACCAAAGCCATGTACTTGCTAAAAGAACTAGATAATTTAGAATGATAAACAGCCTTAAGAAAGTATCTAAGAATAGATTTCAATACTAGTTTTGCCTTTAAATGCTGGGACTTCTAGAACATTTTGTAGTTTTCTCGTGCCCAGTTTAATCAATCATTACCGATATTTTCAAATGTCAATGCAATAAGCTGAGTAGAAACTTAGCCCAGTACGTATACAAAAAGTAATGCTTAGTTCATTTCTTTTCATATGGGAGACAGTCCATTAACCTAACCAAAAACATCAATGGCCAACTTGCACGTAAGAGAAAGCAAATGATACGAGAGCTATCAAGTAAGAGTTAAGACAGAATCTTTTTCTCAGCACATGACGTACCTTTTCAGTTCTTTGTGCAACATTTCTCCAGGTATAGAAAGTCTTTACTACACTATGGATATTTTCTGGGGTTGGAAGTGTCCCCGACTTCAGTTGGAAGATAACTTTTTCCAACCCTTCGCACAAAGACTTTACTGAAGGCTCACATAAAACAATGAGATTTTCTGGGAGCACCTCAGGGATTCCACCAACCTTAGTACTTACAACCTTAAAAAAGAAAAAAGGAGTACATGACCCACCCATAATCACGCCTCAGGAAAATCAGCACAATGAAGTTAAAAAAATTATTACGACATGTGCCCTATTATTTTTTCAAAATATAAATGCAGAAATCCCCGCAAGGTAAGCCCTTAAAGCTTTTTACCTGTAAACCACAACTGGCTGCTTCCACAATAGCCATGCAGAATGCTTCGGTAAGGGAGGTATTAAGAAAAATATGTCCTTGAACTAAGACATTTCTAACATCCTTGTGTTGTAAAGCTCCCAAAAGACGCACCCTGATTTTTCAAATGAGAGGGGAAGAAAAAAGGCAGTAAAAAATCATGCTACAAAAAATTTAATTTCTAAACCAGGTCAGTTATTTAGATTTAGATTCCTACTGCTGCTAATGTTTTCCACCTCAAAACAGTATAACCAAACACATATGTAAAAAAAAGCCCTAGAAAGCTGAGATACAACTCATAAAATTCACGTATTTCTGTATTTGTAACTTTTTTATATATACCAAATGTTATCTTCCCTAAAGCTAATATGCATTTAACAAAAATATTAATATGACTTGGAAATCTGCAAATATTCCCAATCACAGTGGTTGCTTTTGGGGCCTTCCAGGATGTTTCCAACAACTGCTGCCCCAAGTCAAATAATATCAGGCTAACCAAAAATTAAATTATGAATTCTTTGTTTCCCATTTTATATACATTCTTTAAAAACAGGCCCTGCATTCCATTTGTATATCGATTGTATGAAGGAGAAGCAGCACATCTAAGGTAAGCATGCAGTCAAAACCAAACATAGGTAATTGATATTTTCTTACCACACAATATGAAAGCCATCAATACCTGTCATGCAGCTGGTATCGTTCCCGTACTTCTTCCAAAATGATTCTCTTTGGTCCCTCTCCTCCAATTATGAAATTTAAATTTTGATACTTCTGACAGAGCTCAGGTATTATACCAGAAAGCAAATCAGTCCCTGAAAACATAAAGTTAAATGTGGTAGACATTAATGTTTGAACTTCAAAATTCATCAGTACTACTAAGAACTTACTGACTTATTAAAATATTAGGTATACCATCTTTGAAGTACAGTAATTGACTCTCTCACACCTTTCCTGGGAGTGGAAGCATTTACAAAGGGTCCAGAGTCCCCAAGGGTTGCAATTCTTGAAGATACAGACCCTGACATGCACTGTTACCTTTTACACAACCCAAACATGGGCATTCTGTTTCAACCTACTGTTCCTTAAGTGATTTACTTGCACACACTGCCTCCTTCTAAAAAAGGGTATATAAGGTAGCTAACTGTTTCAGTTATCCTCCTCCATAGCACACAGCCTACCGCAGCTAGAGATCTGGGTCTCATTCCAGCTTTTTCTTTCCTTCCTTTTTTAACAAGCAAGCCCTCTGATCACAGCAAAGTACCCTGATCTATTAAATGAAGAAATGTACCTAAAATCCCAAGGCCTCTTTCAGCTATATAATTCTGTAGCCTGCAATTCTACTTCCTGCCACAGGAAAGAGTTAAACAACAAAGTCTAAGTGCTGCCTACACTTTGTTCAAAATTTAGTTTGCATGGAGAATTTTGCAACAAACACCACAGTATTGCCGTAATTTAAAAGAACAGCTCTTCCAAACCAGCTATAGAACACTTCCCCAGAATGAGAGTAGGTAAAGGCAGTAGGACATCAACTGTCAGATCATTCCAATCCACAGAGCAAAAAGGATACACTGCAATTCCTTTCTTAAATTTTTTTTCTTACATTATATAAAGACAGCCTCCAATAATACAAAGCAATCAAATAAATCATGCCCTCCTAGTCTGCAAGTTAGTGGCTACCCAAAGCCACAGCAATGTTGATACTACCTGGGAATTTAGTTCATTAACTATAAACCATATATATTCAGAAATAAAAGGAAACAAAATAACTCAATTAGGCTGTTTAATTAAAAATAAATGTGCATGCACACAAACTGGGTTTTTTTTATACCAGGGATTGAACTCAGGACCTTGCTCTTGTAAGGCACGCGGCAGAACCAGAGCTAAATCCCTGGCCCCAAACTGGATTTCTTACACCAATATTCCTCAAAATAGGTACATATATTATAAAATGGTGGCAGAAATATATGTGTGTGTGTGTGATCATTTTTATTAAATAATGCAAAGTAGGATTCATTAAGTAAACACTGCTGGTATTTTCAAAATGTAATTGTATGTACAAAAATAAATTTCCATAATTATGAAGGCTTCTCATTAAAACCTTAGCTATCTGTTTCAAATCATTAAACCACCTGAATTAATGACCATTAACATTTAGCCTCCTACACTTTCTGTTTCACCCTTCTTCTTTCTGTCCTTTATAATACAAGGTTAAGAGTCCATTCTTCAAACAAAAATGGAGAAATAATCATAATTGCTGCCAACAGCTAATATCTACTGAATGTTTACTATGTTAGGTAATGTACTTTAATCACATTATATCTTTTAATACTGACAATCACCATAAAAGAAATGAAACATTAATACTACTAATGCTATGTAATAGGATTCAAGGAATAAAAAGTTTTTCTCCTCAGTATAAAAAATTATTCTGGTGCCTCTAAGGTTCTAACACAAGGGAATATTCAAAGACTTTTGATTGCCATGCTCATATAAAATAGACAAGAGAAATTCCTGACTCAAATTGCTTTTAATGCTCAGTCTAAAAGTATTTGAAAGAATCTTCTTTTTCATCTAGGATAACAGCTGGGGAACACGAAACCCGAACTCAATAAGAGCTGGACTTGTATTAGTCATCTGTTACTTACTTTGTAACCCAGGCAAGTTACTTACCCTCTCTGAGACTGTTTCTTTGCGTGTTATAAGTAGATAAAATGTACCTACAGTTTCGGAGGGTCAAGTGAGGTACTACATCATGCACAGGCTTTCACAACTGCAGAATACATTGTTAGGCTCTCATTACTGCTACAAAAAGAAATGGGGTGTGCTGCACACATAGTGAGCACTGAGAAACCCCAACCGAGCGCAAAACAGGCTAGAGAGAAGACAGCTCGGAGGCAGCCAGCCAGAAAATCCAGGCAAGGAAAATTTGGATATGTCTTCTTAATTAATCCACTCCAATGGGCTTCGGATATCTGGTCCAAGGAACATCTCAAAGGAAACTGATTTTGCTAATAAGGAATGGATCAGTAATATGATTACTCAGTTTGGGGCTATGGATGTGGCCATTCCTTAGTAGAATGTTATTTGTGCTGGGGGCCTGACATATGGAGAGGGTTCAATAAATATTTGTTGAGTACTGAATTGAAAACAGGAAAGACTGTACCTTCACTCCACTGGTGATTAGCTCAGCTGACTAAAACACCACATTAGTGAAGTTGAAGTAACAAGTTTAATCTTTGTATGAGTAGTTAATTTTGCCGATCCTCTATCACACACACTCACACACACTCTCTCACACACACACACACACACACACACACACGTTTTGGGCTATCTCACAAAGGTATGCTATTTGATCAAAAATAAATCAGGCCTACCTTTCTATGCCACAATAAACACATCACCAATATCCCAAGAGGGGTGCAAAAGAATGCCAGTCCATCTTATCTTCTTGATGAAAGAAAGCACATCATCACCCTGACCCAGAAAATGCAGTTCAGTCCACGTTTTCTCATGAACCTCCACTTAAGCGGACTCCCCATTCCAAATGGGGACTACGCTGACCAAGGCCTACATCTAGATTTCAGGCCCCTCCCCATTACACTGGGACACTTGGTTACCAAGAACCTGTGGCATTTGTTCACAAATGTGATTCCAGTTGTACTTGTCACTACACAGGGTAACTGAATATCACATAAACTGACAAGAAAATCAAGCTGGTTTGAAAAAATCTAATAGAGCAGAGCCACCGAAAAACACTTATCAGATGAGGGGTGAGCAAATCATTGTGTAAAACTGAAAGCAAAGTAAAAATCCAGAGGCATATTGCTTGATGCACCTTTAGGGTTGCACCTCACTTTAAAAACAAAAACAAAAACCCTAGTGGCAACAGTAGATTATGGTTTGTGAAGGTGACCCTGCAAGATGACGCAGTTGAAATCAGTGAACCAGTGCTCAGAGCCTGCAGCTCTATGACAAAGTACTGGCAATTCAGTGTATTAATAACATTTGAGTCGTGTTCAAACATTTGAGGGTGTATTTTTTCATGATGTCCAACTTTAAGTGACGTACTTGATTACTAGACAGGCTTTCAAAGAGCACTGAGAAGTCTATTTAAATGTTTCTAATAACCACTGTTCAGAGTTCTGATAAACAAGGTCTCCACAAATTCTACAGCAGTATCCATTACTGTTACAAAAGTACTATAAATAATCCTGTTTTGTAACAGTGTGCACTTATCGAGTACAGTGTGGGCTAAGTACATCACGGAACTGCCACAAAGTTCCCACTGATAACAGAATTAAACAAATGAAAAAAACTGAGACAGAGATGTTAAGTAACTCGTCCTTGATCACACAGTGGGACAGAGTCAGCACCTGATCATGGCCCATCTAATCCTCCTTTCTTCATCACTTACCTGCCAATATGTTCTCAACATCGTATATGATTAAACAAAACAACTACAAAACAGTAGATCGCAGAATAACCCCACTGATTTTAAGCATATTAACACATGCATAAAGATAGGAAGTTATAAATCAAAATGTTCCTTAGGGTCACCTCTGAGTAATGTAGTTAGCTAATTTTAATTTTAATTTTTGTGTTTTTCTTAGCTTTAAAAAAATCTGCAATGAAAAGACATCACTTTTGTAATCAGAAAGAAAAGACTAGGTGGTAGGCTCTTTTCCTTTATTTCTTACCACATGGGCAGGGCTGATTTAATTTTTAAAAGATCCTATCACTTAAATAGCATCAGGTTATTTTTATTTTTCAGTAAGTATTAAAGCATCCAAGGTTGGAGACAATATTCATCACCATTCTAAAAACTTATTTTCTTGGATGTATAAACCAGTATCAGTTCTTTCTTTGCTATAGTTCATGCAGAGGTTGTTATAAAAACAAACAAAATGAAAAGCCAAACAATCATTAGATACAAGTATTCAACAGCTTTCTACAAGGAAAAAAAAGTCTGCAATGCAAATATAGCTATCGTTTCATTACCTTTTCTGTAAACAAGTCTGCTGATAACAACAATAGTTATACTATCATGTCTCCTAAAAGGATCTGGAGTGAAGTCAGTAGGATCTACCGCATTAGGAATGACGGACACTATTGCAGGATTCAGTGCTGCTCTTAGTACAGTATTTTCCTTACTAGTGTAAGAGACACATATGATGTGGTTTGTGTCACAAAGCGACACAGTTAGAAGCTTGTTTGTGAGCACCGAGCTGACATCAGCAAATCCAAAGAGGGAATGGTCCGTGAAGACGGTATGGAGCCCCATTGTCTTGGCGTGGAAGAGAGCATCATGGGCCATGGAAGAAAAGGAACTATGGGAATGGACTATTGTGACTCTCTCCCGAACAAATATGTACCTGAGCAATGGCAGACTGTGAAAGAGGGTCGTGGCTGTAGATTGGTTGTACATGACTTTCAGAGGCAAGTAATAGACTTTGAGGCCATTAGTGAGGTAACGGATGCCTTTTCGATTTCCGTAAGCATGGGTGACAATTAGGACCTTGTGCCCTCTTTGAATCAGGCACTGAGAGAGCTGGTATATGTGGCTTTCCACTCCTCCCATGTTTGGGTAGAAAAAGTCAGATACCATGCATATATTATGAGAGTGGGCTGTACAGGTGAAAAAGTTTCCAGGGCTAACCAGGAAGAGTGGAGCTGAAGGAGCCTTGACATCCCCACCTCCTCCTCTATCGGCCATGCTGAGATGGTTTAGACATCAGTCCTTAGAGCAACCCAGCTAAGATATGTGTCCTCTGTTACCTGAAAGAGAGGAAAACAGGATCTCAGCTCAGAGACACAAGGCATTCCATATTCCAAATCTCCTGAGTACTTTTAATGTTAATGTACATTTATCAGCTTTTCCCCTAGAAATGAAAAAAGCACATAATGAATTTACTCATTTGACATTTACTTGCTTAGCATTTACTATGCCATAAACAAAACTAGACTCTGCAATGCCTTGATTTTGCTGTAAAAATACTATGCATAATTTCATTATACCACACTATATAATGGCATGCCATGCCAAAGAGTTTGCTATTAAATATAAATACACACATAGATGTATGCGTATTTTCCCTCTACAGTTATCACTTTACCAGCTTCTACTTACTAAATGGCTACTACACATCAGGCACTGTGTGCTCAGAGTTTCCTACGTTTTATTGGAACCTTCCCAAAACCCTACAAAGTATTCGGTCTACATTCTAAATGGAAAGTAAGCCTTAAGGAGGTTAAGAAATTTGTTCCTCATCCCTTGGCTTTTTAGAGGTAGCACAACTGTTTCACTGGTGATTATGCCTCCTCCTTGCATCTGGACCTGGTTTAACTCATAGGATGCGGTAAGAAAGCGATGTACAAATGTTTGTACTCGGCCTCAGAAATGCCTGGTGGCTTCAATTAGGTACTCGGCTACACTAAGTAATCACATAAGTCTAGCTACTGTGCTAGAAAGGTATGGGAGACAATGTGAAAATGGAAGAGCTCTCAGACTACATGGAGAAAGCCAGAGCCCCAGCCATCTCCCTGTTATCTGGGCCCAGTTTCCAGCCAAACTGCTACCTGCCAAATGCAGCCTTCTTAGTGACCACTGGCAAGAACAGCAGAGGCACCATTAGCTAATCCCAGTAGATTGCAAAATGGAGAAAAAGTAAAATGGCTACTGTTTCACACCTCTAAATCTTGAGGAGGTTTTACAGAAAAGTACAATTAAAACAGGCCAGGATTTGGATCTAATTACATTGGTCCACTCTTTGTTTTTGTAAATAAATTTTTACAGCAGCACAGTCTTGCCCATTCATGTATGTGAATAGCTACTTTTGTGCTGTAACAACAGAGTGGCTGGAAAAGAGACCATATGACCAACAGAGCCTAAAATATTCACCATCTGGCTCTTCACTGAAAGTTTGCTGATCTCTGCTCTACAGCTTAGCCACTGATGCAATTAACCTCATAAAGTTCTAGTAATAGCTTTGCGTTTACACTAAAATATACCTGGAGCTGGAATGGTCTTTTTGAGGGCATCTTTTTCTGAGGAAACCTGGAGTTCATGCTATGGATAATTCGAATTTTCTCCATTCTTAAAGATGATAAACTGCTCCCATTTTTTTTTCTTAAACATTCTTTCCATTATATACGTCTTTCCTCCATGATTATCCCTCCTTTCAGTGTGGAGTTTGAAAATAAAGGCTAAAGCTGGAGCAGTTTCCTACATCCTAAAGCGGGTAGTTTATCTCTGGAGTGCTCCAAGGTCATTCCAAGGTGAAAATATTTACTCAATATGCTGTACCACTATAGATTCTTAAGACTTTTAAAGCCAGAGTTGTCTTGGAGATCTGGTGAAAATCTTCTTAGCTTTACAAATGGGATTTCCAGGGCTCCAGAAACTCAACTATACAAAAAAGGAAGTCATCCTAAAGCTCTGAGTTTCGAATTTCAACTGCAAAATCAGAAAATACAAATTAACTGTGTGCAGTCTTATCTACCAATTCTCTCCAACAAATTCATCTACATCTTTAATATATTCTCAAAAATACTCCATAAATATTTGTGAAATTGAATAGTTAATATTCAGTATTACGAAATACTGAGATTCTTCATGTTTGTTTGCACTTTTAAGTGGCTTAACTGTGTCTTACTGTGTTTTGTCACCTAAACCTGAACTTCCAGTTCTATTCAGTTTTAAAAGATGAATGATAATGAAAATAGTGAGTAACGAGCCAAATGAAGTTACTTAACATTTTGGCATTAACTCGCAATGATCTTAGAGGAGTCTGCCTAGCATTGGACTATCATTCCCAGTATCACTGTCATTTATAAAGCTTATACAGCATACTCACAGAATCTTAGATTTTAAGAGACTCTCTCTTTAAAAATGAGAAGCCAGGCAAGTTTAAACGATTTGTCCAAAACTCCCTCCCAGCCGTCACTGGCAAACTGGTAAAGATCTTAAAATTCTCGGCCTTGGCCCAGGAATCCCAGGAAGTCAACAGCAGTAGAGGCTCTGAAGAAGCCTTACACAGAGCCTGCCGAGGATGGAGATCAAGAGGACACAATCCTTGGGCACAGCCCAGGTTGCACTAGTCGAGAAGCAGCTGGTGAGCAGTAGAGCCAAACAGACGCCCCGCTCAGCCAGCGAGCCAGCCAAGTCAGACAGGATCTGGCCGGGCCCACAAGAAGGAGGAAACAACCGGAAAGTAAGCAGGGGTCTGAGTCTGAGACTCCGGGTCCCCGAGATCCCAGTCCATCGCCCACCAATCTCAGCCAAGGAACTGGCTCCTGCTCTGCATTCCCCTCGGCCCCATTCCATTCTGCAAACCCTCCTTTCCGACTTCAGGGCCTGAAACCCAGTAAGTTTCACCCCTTCCACAGCCTGTCAAGTTCCCAGGCGCAAGGCGCAGCCCCGTCCGGAGGCGGGCGACAGTGCAGGGTAGGAGAGGTCAGACGAACACTTACCGGCAAGCCCCATGGCCGCCCGGGTCCGGACCTCCCGCGGCTGTAGCCAGAGTCCCGCCTCGCTACCCACAAGGACCAATCCTGGGCGTCCGCGCTCGAGCGCCGCGCCCTGGAGGCACACAATCAAAAAGTGGTGCTTAGATCACGTGCAAGAGCGACGCTCAGTCGTCCCCCAACCCTCAGCGTGGGATATAGCGTCAGCGTGCGTTTGCGCATGCCTAGTGGATGCTGCGGAAGGTTGTGCGCCTTGGCCCTCTGGTTGCCTAGTTACAGCGTCTCTTTTCAGGAAGCTGGTTAACACCCTGCTTGCTTCTGATTGGTGAGTCTTGCGTGAAAAGGCTACAGAAATCCAGGGTCATGGTGGCGTTCTACTTGTGATTGTCTGCCACAGTAGAACCGTGCTAGTTCTTATCTCCCTGCTGGGGTTGCCAGACGCAGCATGTAGAAATACACACACACACACACACACACATCACACACACACACACATACACACACACACACACAATCAATCAATCAAAGCAAATCCAAGCAAATAAAAATATGAACTTTGAATTTCATATAAGTATGTCCCAAATAGTGGAGACGTGCACATCTGTATTTGACAGCTCTGCACTCTGGGGCGGCGGGGAGAGTAGGATCTAAGGTCTGACCTGAAATATCTAGTCCCACTCAAACTGACTCAATTTGCTGTGGTGATGCTTAGCTAAAAGGCTAAAAAATCGTAGGAGTGGGCTGATGATCGTTCACCTTTCCAGGCAGTATTTGCCGTTCCCTAGCCCCGCTATGCTTGCACTAAAAGACTAATTCCTTTCTGAGCACCATCATCACCACCACTACCAGCATCCCTTTAAAACCTTGAGTAACCCTATTAAATTCTGAAGATATGGGTTTTATTTTCCTGATGCCCGAAAGCCTCCAGAGATAAATGATTCCAGTATTTTCATAATACTTTGGCACGGCAGCTTCTGTCATAAGCACTGAGGATTAAAAAATAAATAAATCATGATTCTACCTGTCAAAAGACTCACAATCTTATATAGCCCACCACCACATTTATAGTCAGTTCCTTCTTAAGCAACAATATCCATTTAAGGTTATTTTGTAAAAGCTGAAGGAAAGTTTTAGTAGCAGAATTGAGAAACAAGGCTGAGGATAATTCTAATTATAGTATTCTGCCTAAATATATGACCTCACAGTATGCCTTTAGGGAATTTTCTTAGAAACCACTAAAATTAGACCACACTACTTAATACACTGCGTTTTGATTACACTTAATAAAATATGAGAGCAATCAATGCCACTTCTAGTACTAAATGATCTAAAATGGAAAATAAATGTGAAATTTATGTTCTCTTGAAATGCAACCCTTTAGGATGAGGCTGTAGCTCGGCACCTGCCTGGCAAGCACAAGACTCTTGAGTTTCATTCCTGGTGAAAGAAAGAAAGAGAGAGAGAGAGAGAGAGAGAGAGAGAGAGAGAGAGAGAGAGAGAGAGAGGGAGGGAGAGAGGAGGGGAGGGAGGAAGAGAGGAAGGAAGGAAGGAGGCGAGGGGAGAGGAGGGGGGAGAGGGAAGGGAAGGGAAAGGAAGAGAAAGGCAGGCAAGTCTTTGCAAATGCATACAGAAATTACATTGTTTAGATAATTTTGGATTGGGAAGGCAAGAAATGTGTATCAAAAGTCTCCCATCAATAAGCAAGGCACAATGCAGAGAAAATGTGGTATGAGCCTTACCCCCAAGGAACCAAGATGGAATTAAGGCACATGTAAATTATCTAGGGTAAAAGGTCAGAAGTGGTAAGTGCCATAAGAGAAATACCAGAAAAATACTGGGAGTTCAGAGGCAGAGTATTTCTATCTGGAGCATTTAGCTAGAAGAATAAGTAGAAGATGACCGTGCAACTTTTCAGAGCAAGATCATTTCATTAACAAAGTGAACAAGGTACAGAGACAGGCACTGACTAGTGAACATTATCATGTAACTGCATAAGGGAAGAGATTAGGAAAAGGTACAGACAGGAAAAGGGTGACATCTTTAGTGAAATTTAGAGCAAACTAGTAGAGAATCCTACTTAAGAAAGTGAACTTGATGTTGAGTCAGACTTCACTCCTCCTGTTTCAAATAGAAAAATAAGGACAAATAGAATATAAATGAGAACATTAAATAGCTGTAATTTAAAAGTAAATAACTGTAATTTAAAATAGAAGATAAGTATTTCCATGTATCAGAAACAGAACCAAAATGTAAAATGGTGATCACGACCAAAGTCACATAGGTTCTGAACTCTATATGTGGCAATGAGAACACATGAACTAGGATTCAGCTCTTGTAGAATAATAAAAATTAGCAGGACTCCAGGTGGCTAGAGAGAGGAGCCAATCTTGTGGGAGATTGTTACACTGGTGCCCTTCAATAAATCATTTGCCAATATGGGCATCCTTGTCTAACTCCCCCTTACACTGCCTTTGGATTTTGGCCATGTGACTTGCTTGCCCAATGGGATATCAGTAATTGAGATGCCACAGCCGCTTTGTAAGTGTTTGTGGACTGAATCACATCCTGGTGGACCTTTCCCACTGAAAGCAGCTGTCATGCTATAGAGCTCAGGCAAGATGCTGAATAATGAAAAGCAGCATGGAGAGATACTCTAAAGAATGAGAGGTCTTGGGTGCTTGAGGAGTAGGTGATTTCCCAGCTAATGCAACCACTAAAATGTCTTTAGCCTATTCTATGTGAAACAAAAGAACCACCTAGCTGATTTTGCTCAACTCACTGAGTCATGGGAAAGAAATAATATCACTGTTTTCTCAAGGCAATAAGTTTTATGATTGTTACACAGAAGCAGATAACTCAACTAGGCCTCATTGCTAAATCATTTCCCCTACCTGAGAATGAAGAATGAAAGAGTTTGTGCCAATAGTCTTGCTTACTGACCTGAGCTAGGCAATGTGATCTATAATATGTCACTTGTCACTATCACTATGGTGGGGGGAGGGAGCAGGGAGCTATCTAATTTGATTAGTTTCTGAGTCAAAATTCCAAAACACTGGAAGAGATATACTAAGACAACATACAAATCTAATAATGGAAATTGAATTCACTGTAGAAGCAATTAAAATAATATGAAAAAATTTCAATGAGAATTTGAAAACAGAAGCATGCAGAAATGAAACAGACATCAATGTATAGAATTAATTAGAAATCTTGACCGTGAAGTTAGTAATATTTTAGAAACTCAGTAAACTGAGAAGTTATTTAGGTGAGACATGGTTGAAATAAACATTAGTATGATGGAAAATAATATTGAGGAAGTTACTTTTCTTCTTCAGTGCAGGACATAAAGATGCAATGTCAAACCACAATAGAAGCCTTTTCTATAGGAAATTATTCTGGTAGCTGAAGGAAAGGCAAATGAAGGAGTGCCACGGCTGAGGCCCCTTGCAATTCAAAACGTAGTCTTCAGATCACCAGCAGCAGCAACATCTGGCAACTTGAACATCAGATTCTCGGGCCTTACTCTAGATCTACTTTAAAAAAATCTACTCTTTGACAAGATACTGGGTGATTAATATGCACATCATTAATGCTTTAGAAATATAGCTCTATTTTGGTGATGTTCCTGAAAGGCCTTAAAGAATATTGTCTATATCACCTCCTTTGTGGAATGTCTCAGACAGTATTTTAATCTTCATCCAACTCTGATCATTATGTTGCCTGATCTGTTTCCACCTCCAAAGGGCTTCCCATCACACTGTCCTGGTTACAGATTTATCACCCACACTATCATAATAATACTCTGGCCTTGTGGCTTAGGTAATCACAGACATCAAACAGCACTCGGATTTACTGTTTAAGCTCTTGGGGCTTCACACATATTTTATTTTTGAACAAATGGGAAATTTCCAGTTTTCAAGGATATGAGTATGACAAATATTCCTGTGCAATTACTAGTGGACTCTAATAAGGCACTAGGCAGTTATGCTACTTCTACCTTCAAGGACCTGTCCCATCGTGACCCAGCCCCAAAGATGCAAATGCAGGTCCCATGGTGATTATTGCTGATTGGGCAAGAAGAAGGGGGAGACCAGATGGTCAAAAGTTTGGGCCCAGCCCAGGATTTCCTATGGTATCTCCATCTAAATGACAGTCAGAAAGCCAGAACCACTTCAAGTCAAAACATGGTTTTAGTTGGTTTAAGGACTCATACAAAGATTTATTATAAGCCAGGAATTTTCCAGATGTTCCAAACTCCTGGGTTTTTCCACCACCCTGCTTCTTTTGTTTGAAATAATCCCTTTGATTTATAGAGTATATTTTATTGTTCAAATTTTGTTTTCACTACTGATAACTCAAGTGGAATAGTCAGCTCTGAGACAGAAGGGGATGATATTATCATCCGTATTTGACAAATGAGAAAACAAGGCTCA